AGCTGAAAAAAATATATAACTTAACGTATTAAAATGCCAAACACATACGATTTAAGTTACGAATATGCAGCTTTGATATTGCAAGTTTCTACCTTTCTAACATGACGGAATATGTTGTACGGTAGCAGCAATGTACGTACTTCTATAATATCTGTACTGAGGTGCCTGTACTTTACGGCTATATTAATTTGTACGTTCTGGCATTTTCTCTTTGCTTGAGGTAATACTTTGCTTTGCTAACCGGATGCGTTTCGCGCCTATATAAGTCCGAGGGTTGCAGTATTTTTAGCATCAGTTCATTCTAATTCTGAGTATGGCAGTTTCGGAGTTTACTATTAAAATATATCTTCGGAATGCAATCGTATACTCGCTTCGCGTAGATCGTAGCGTATGCACATTCTATTTAGTTATGCCACATTAAAATTATCAGCTCATTCTCTGTCGTTGAGTAAGATCGGTAGGGTTGATATTGCGTTATTATTTTATTTTTATTGCGTTTTTATTATATTGCGTTATCGTATTCGTAACTCGTCTCTCGTCAAAAATAAGACCTCTACTTTCTACATGAAAAGCTTAACACCGCCGCCCGCTCGACCTAAGGGCGGTCACGACCTTCTATGCTAGTAAAATTCATAAACAGCAAGTGGCTCGAGAAAACCAAGCGCAACCTCATGCGATCGAAAATGTAGCAAATTTCACGCTCAAGCATGAAATCCTAACGGATACTAAACAACCACATTAACGGATCAAAAACCATTTGGATAGAAGACAAGGTCCCAATTAAAGTGGCGACCCACCAAGGCGGTCGCGCGTTCATATAAATCATCGCCCAGTAGACATCCGGTGGAATCCAGCAGACGAAAACAGTAATAGATGTTAAAGTCAGCACTAAATACGGTTTCACTCTCCGTCGCCGATTCATCGCGGAATGCTGTGGTGCCGGCGCTCGTGCCCTTTGTGCAGTACTCTCTCCGGCTGTCGCTTTTGTCGTTGAAGTGGCATTATGCTCCGTTGATTGATTCGATCTTTCAATCTGCTGGTCGCCCACTTCGTCTTTTCCATCGCTTAACGATCACATAAATATACGTTCCAAGAATTACCAGCAGCGGAATTATTCGGTGAAGCACGAAATCAGCGCGCCGCCATTCGAGAATACCACCCGACCCGCCTTGCAGACAAGCTGATTTTCCGGCTGGAGTGTATAAGAAGAATTCCACCATAAACATGGAAAAATGAATCACGTGGACGTAGGCCACGGCACCGAGACACAGCAAGATAGCCGTCTTTTTCCTGTGCTTCTGACTATATGAGACAGGATACGTGACCGCCCATAAACGGTTGACAGAGATCAGGACGTGCATCAGTACCGGAACCATACTGGCCACAAATCCGCCGTAGACGTAAACAGCACACACTGCCTGACCACCGGGAAACATTCCCGTCACGGAATTCGTCATGCCGATGGGGCGCATGGTCACTAGAATGACGATATGGCCGATGGAGATGAAGATCAGGTATATTGTGAACGAAGTCACCTGCGTCTGCGGAAGGCACTGCAGAATCAGCATCATGCCATTTAGTCCGACGCCCGCGCATGCTAATACGAGCTGTGTGATGACCAGTGGAGACCAGCCTTGTGGAACGGCTTGCGTTAAAAATACAGTTGCATTACGATGAATGATGCTGGTGTTATTCATCGCTGCCGTTTTCTTGCCGGTGTAAAAACGAAGGAGGAAATGCCGACAATAAAATATTTTCAATTGTATAGCTTCAACCTATGCTAAATTATAACTGGATTTTAAAAGTTCCGACTGTTCGGAATCTAGAACTATAGGAACAGATTGGGAGCGCACATGAGCGCGCTTAGAAAAGCAATCTGACCTTTGCGCGCTTAGAAAAGCAATCTGACCCAATCTGACCTTCTGAATAGCAATCTGACCTTTGAAAAAAGCCGAGTTCCTACTGAAACCATAGTTTGTCTCCCGGTGTGCTGTCTTTTATCGCACCAAATTCCCTTCTAGCCGATACAAGATGTTTAATTATTTCCAGTTTAATTGCTATTTCCAATTAGATGCTGGACAGTGTATGCCGGTTTTTTCATAGAAAAGTAATCATTAACGCGAGATGTAATACTGATTTGCTGCATACAGACAGACATGTCGATGAGATACTCTGTCACTGAAGGTCATTTTTTTCATTTTCCTGTTTTCAGGAGCAGCAATAACATGTTTACACGATCCAGGGAATAACACGTTCAGTCTACGACCTACTATACGCTGCTCTTCATTAAATTTCTAATTAAGTATTATGGAAGTCAATGGCGTATCTGAAATCTATCCCGGTTTCAGTTGTTTAGAGGTATTTTCCAAAAATAAACATGCTTCTCACAGTGGTATTACTGTACAGGTTTTAAGTAGTGAAGAAGCAGAATGCTATAAACAGCGTCACATACGTCACATACGTCTGTACCAACGACCACGAAAAACGTTTTATTACTGTATGTAGAAATTTGTATGAAAATCGGCAGTATATTTAGATATTGCCGTTTACAATAGTGCAGACGACAGCAGCAGTCTGCACTATTGTAGAGCGGCAATTATTTAGATAAATGTTGTGCATTTGAGAGAGCCGCTTTTACATTGCAAAAAAACATGCATATCATAATATAACCGTTTTTTCTGAAGAATACTGTTAATTATTGAAAAGAACCAGGTGATAATTAAACAACAATCCCATAAGAAGAGCGGTGGAGGTTTGTGTACTGTTGTCCAGCTGGAAGTAACAAAATTTATAATATACGAGTAGCATTATAACTTACGCATGAAATGCATCGATGGATGTTAATTATGCAAGATTTGTTGTTGACTAGGTACCAGTCAGAATTATCCCGGCCCTCATGCACCGTTACCCAGACGGCGCTGGTACCCTTATAACGAAGCTCCGGTCAATAACAGTTACCATCCTTACAATAATGCCCCTCCCGACGTGCATTATGCTGTTCCGCAACCCATCCCGTACCAAAATCCGGCACCCTATCCACGATATCAAATTTCTCTGTTACCAGCTTATCAGATACCACAGGGCCCACCCATACCGTATCCGTCACCTCCATCACCGGTCCCTCTGGTAGGTTCCTATCCATCTGCCCCGGCAATTATACCGACTTATGCATTACCGTCCGCATAGTGGCCCCATTAAAGCTATGCCGGAAACCCGGCAGTGTCTTTATCGGACATTGTGGACATGAACACATTTAGGCAAGTATCCCAGTCAAACGACGCGATATTTCACGAAGGACCGGTGTTTGTGGAGACCACCAACGAGTTGTATTTCTCGTCCAACCGCTTTATTAACAGCAATGGAGAAGAACATATTCGCATTTCTAAATTGAATGGCGACGCCGAACGCAATGCCGGTCACAGTGATAACCAATCCCCGATTCTGATGGCCAATGGAGGCGCACGCATCAATCGGAACGAGATTGTCTACTGTTCGCAAGGATATAACGCGACATCGGGTTCGTTGATGAGGCTGAATATCGAAACACTAGTGGCTACAAAAATCGTCAGTGAAATGCTTTCGCAATATTGCTGCCAAAAAAATATCATTAATTCACTTTGCATTTTGCTTTTGCAGCCACTACAGCCAAATCTGGATTTTAGTAGTCCCAACGATGTTGTATTAAGCGACCAGTACGATGGCTACTTTTCACCGATCCGCCTTATGGTTTCTATCAAAACTTCCGACCAAAGAACACGTTGCCGCCTTCTGTTTATTTTGCCGACAAAAGAAGTCTGAATGTCACACGCATTTGGGAGTTCCCTCCTAATTACCGGCCGAATGGACTTTCGCCTTCCCTTGACGGATCGCGACTGTACGTCGCTAATTCAGGTAAATAACGTAAACAATAGTTACATCTCGACTGTAGTATCGTTAATCATATGTATGTACAATACGTTACGTTGCCGTATTAGCAGGTGCGATTGACAGTTTTATGAACAAATAGGATTCCAAATCGGAAACGGCTCCACAGATGCCACCGTGCCCATTGTCGTGCACGTATTCGCCATGTCCAAAGGCAACAAAGGTGTTCCCGTTCTGACCGAGCTGGATCCCATTTCCACGGGGACCGATGTGGGCGTGCCGGATACGGTCAAAGTGGATGAGAAGGCAACATTTACGTGACCGTCAGCAATGGAGTACGTATACACCCCGGAGGAGTGTTTATCGGCACTATTTCCATTCCTCCCCGGACCAGTGGCTAATATTGCCTGGGCAGGGAAGACGCTGTATATGTTGGCGGAAAAGGTTTTGTATTCGGTGCAAGTTAAAATCGAGCGGCACCGTTGCATGATATTGATAACACGAACTGGTGAACAGCTATGTTTAATAAATTATTTATTTTCTTGCTTTCCTAAATGGTTTGAGTATATGTACAATTTTGATAACTCCTAGGAGTTATCAAACAGGCCTGTTTGATTTATTCGATGTAATTTTGTGACGCTGTCCACGATCTAATCAAGGTTAATACAAATCACTTTTCGTGTTTATGTGTTTAAGGAGTACATGCATTTTTGATGTGATCATTCTTGAGATCGTCGAAGCGCAGCGCTGGCTGTTATACGGAGTCCCCGATCGGCAAAAGAAATTTGTGAGTGAAATTAATGCTCAATCTAGACTACCCTAGAAGCTTTTGAAAAAGATTGACGCATTACGCCAACTCTGTAAGCCCTTTGCTTGTTCTTCATCGGGTGCCATGTACTGTACTTATTTGACGTAAACATTTTACATTTGTAATAACTACCAAGAGCGAGTAACCGTAGAAATAACTACGGGTAAAAGACGGAGCTGAAGCAATTAATCAGATTATTGTAGGCCCGTACCAAAAATTGAATTATTTAGTCTAAAGCAGATATGCCAGAGCAGAGCAGATGCAGCGGTAGAGATGTGATGCAGTTATTTTTTCGGCACAACGAAACAAGAAATTAACGCTAGGGTAGCTATTGATGAGCAGGTGTTATCGTACGCTGAACAGCCACATCAACGGGTCGAACACCATCTGCAACGAGTACAAAGTCCCCGTTAAGGTGCGCCCAGGCCGGCGGTCGCATATTCAAATATAGTAGCGCCCAGTCGGTATCTGCCGGGACCCAGCAGACAATAACGTTGATGAACGTCAGGGCCAAAACGATAAACGGCTTCACTGTCCGGCGTCGTATACCCATGCCATCCTGCTGTCGGCGATTCAAGCGGCTTATAGATTTTCTCCCCGCGGTATCAGCGTTCGGCGTATCAGCATCCGCACTGGGATGCGTTTCCGGTTGGTGTGCAATAATGCGTCGGTTCAACCAGCGCTTAATAATGACGTAGATGTAAATAGTAAGTATGGTAAAAAGCGGCACGATCCGATGGATAATAAAATCGGCGCGACGCCACTGTATGATCCCGCCCTCCCCCGGCTGGCAGCCCGTCTGCTTCCCCGCTGGACCGAAATAGTAGAATTCTAGCAAGAAAATCGGAAAGTGCACCATGTGGACGTAGACCATTACGCCGAGGCATAACAATAAAGCCACTTTTTTATTATGACGCGCACGATAATGGACGGGGTAAGTGACCGCCCATAAACGGTTGACGGCGATGAGGACATGCAGCAGTACGGGGATCATACTAACGACAAACTGAGCGTAAGTGTATGCCGCACACAGTGGCCGTCCGCCTGGCCAGATGCCGGTGTAGGAGTTCATCACACCGATGGGTCGCATGACCACCATGATGACGATATTCCCGGTGGCGATGACAATCAGGTAGATAGTGAAAGAGGTCACGTGGGTTTGCGGGAGAAATTGCAGGACGAGCATCATGGCGTTTAAGATAACGGATATAACGGCTATGGATAACTGAAGAATCAGTAGAGGGTTCCAGCCAGTTCGCGGAATGAAAAAGGTCACCGTGGTATTATGATAAACGGATGTATTATTAAATATTTCCATGATGTGTAGTATTCGCTATGTGGCTGATAAAGCACAAGTTAAGGATCTCCCTTGGAAACGGTAGAAAGCGATGAAGCGGGTGCAACTACCGCGCTATGCGAAGTATCGGTCGAATTCGCATGGCACTGATTTTCAAAGCTGTGAAGTAGAATGCCGGGTTCCACATTATATGGCGCTGGATCGGGATAATTTGTTTTTGCAATACGATGCCGTCTGATTAATTTATCATTTGACGGCGTGATCGCAATTAAATTATTTTGGAGCAGTTCCCCGGCAGACATTCTCCTGTACCGAGGCAGTAAATAATTTTCCTGCCGGTCGTACCAAGGCCGTCTGGACGCCAGTTTCTTCCTGTGTTTATCCCCAAATTACGCTGAATCCTGGTTGCGTTCTCCGTCCACAACAAAGGTTGATAAGAAGACCGGAAATCAGGCTTGCTGCTTTACTGATGTCGAAAAATTTACGGTTTATGATTACAAGATGATAACCTAAGTGAGATAATGCAAGGAAACATATGCATGGCACCGGAACAAAGAACCAGGGAAATTTCCTACCCGTTCATTCAGAAAAAAATTGTCAGACAGCACCGGAAACACAGATTGCCGGGCACAAATTAAACATCGCACTGACGAATGAGGAAAGGATTGCGGCTATTGTACAGACAGGCAATAAATCAGGCTGTCACGACGTCAGCATAAAGAACATTAAAAAGGGGTTCCTTACTTTAAACTGGAAAAGAACTACCGCGTCTCTCTCTGTGCATTCGTTGAGCAATTAGCGGCTCCAGTTTACAGATCCACCTGGCGCTATGCTATCATGCATGTGCAGGTCCCAGATCGGTAATTACGTTTTCTTTAAAAAATTTATAACGGTTCAATGAAACAACATTACGTGCTTAAAGTGTACTACTAATCATTTGACTGCTTTGTTTCAAATATGCACCCACTTAATGATATGTTAATGTTTTGCTCGCCGTGATTTTGGGATCCTCGAAAAGAAAAGAGAGAGAGAGAGAGAGAGAGCGATATACGAACGCGTAGAAATTCGCAGCTGGAGATCAGCAAAGCGCCGGCTGTGCACCTTACTCTAGTGGGAGCCGGGCTTGCCGGTTATTCCTCTCCGTGCACCCACTGATCCACGTCGTGTCGGTGCTGGAGAGCGCACAGCACCCCTACGCCAAATGAACTACACAAACAATCTAATTGGACATTAAATTTTTATGGTTTCTGGAATTTATATGTCTTCTTTTGCCAACATGTTTTGACATTTGGCTGAGATCACCTGTGCCTGCTTTTCCTTAACGTCTCAGCGTGCACGTAAAAGTATTTACCGCAATGTCATATCATTCGATGCTTAGAATGACCTTTCCGGATATCCGGATCGAGTGGTCCCACCGTCCCGTCAGCTGGTTCGATAGGATTTCTCATCGCCAGATCATCACTGCTATCTGGTATCGTTCTGGTGAATCCCGATAACCATTCTCTCAGCATTTAGGAATGAAGGGACAAAATCGTGCAATTGTCATGTCTCGTCCGCATAGCTGTAGTATAACACTGACACTAACGGCAGTCAGTCTCCGTCTGGACTCATTCTTCCACGGTAATATCCGGATCGCTGTCACGTTCCGTCAGCCGCCAAGAGAGCATCACATGCTATCTGGTATTCTGGTAATAAACACTTCTCAGTGAACCCAATCGCAAAGTCATACCCAATAAATATAGTACTCGTACTCAGCTGCGTATGCAGTTATTCGTCAAGTGTCCGCGGTAAAAAAATGTACTCAATTAATAAACTCAAAAACAGTGTGCATTAAAGAGACGCATCCCACATAAATCACCAGCGCTACTTTCAAACTGCAAGCAGCGCTTGTTGGGAACTTTGCGCTGTCTGCATCTAATAAATCGAAACATTTGATTGTACTACGTAGTACATGTATCCGCCGGGTAACTCCAGAAAATTTTGCTTTTCCTTGGAAACAGTCTTCCGATGGAAAGGCAGTATAAAAGTGTTTCGGTTCATTAAAAAGTATTTCTTTGCCAAATTAACTGCATTACTGCAACAAAAAAGTGAATGGAATCGGTTTCTATAAAGATAGAATAACTGGAGTACTGTATCTCTACAAGTATAGGTATGTTGTAATACCTAATTAAATGCACAGTCTTCGATTACACGTTGCCCTTATTGCTCCTTCATTACTGTACACGGTAAATACACAACAGTTTTCTTCGGTACTGCTCATAAAGAGTCATAATCACAGAGAAAGCAGCCACTCACAAAAATCTAATCATGCCAGTAATGCAGCACCCGTGCCGCACGGCTGGCATTCCCGTACGCCGCTCCACCAAACGTAAAATACCCGTCTACTAAATCCTTCGGTAGCGGTGTGACATCATTAACATCCCCGAACACCCACACCGTCTGCATGCCCATGATCATATGCTGCAGGGCGTGGCAGTGGATCATCCACACCCCGGGATTCTGCACCCGGATGCGCATGGCCCGCCAACTATACACCGCCCCCGGCCCCAGCGTCTGCTGGTCCGACGGTGCCGGGCGATATAAATTCGACGTATCCCGTTGCGTGATCCGCCCATGTCGCGCCACCAACAGCGCCTCATTGGCCACCGGATCGTACGTCCCATTCCCGGTACCGCAGTCGTAAAAATGATCCCCGTGCATATGCCAGGGATGCGACTCCACCGTCCCGGTGAAATTATTCCCAATCAAGTACCAGACAATCTCCAGAACCTCGCCCATCTTAGCCGGGAAGGTCTTGGTCACCGGGTCGAAACCGCCGTTGGCCAGCGCCCGTTCGTAGTTCGGGAAGTTGGCCGTGTTATTCCGGTACAACGAGACGAGATACGGCTCCATCGTGTTGGTTATCGTTTCGAACCATGGCGAACCTGACTGTTCGAAAAACGCCCCGATCCCCATGGACCCGTTGGTGACGATCTCCTGGACGTTGACGATGATCCGCCGTGTGACCTCTTCCAGCCGCGGGAACGGGTTCCCCGGATCGGGATAGTACATCTGGATTTTATCCTCTAGCCAACCACCGGTGAAGGTTTCGCTAGCGACGGTCAACGGTTTCGTTGCCGGCAGTGTGAACGTGTCCACCGGGTTGGAGTTGACCTTGTAATGTAAAATCGCGTACGCTGTTGTATCATTATCCGGTGACCGGGTTTCCAGTTGTACCCAGAAGCGATCCCGGATTTTTCCATCGGCTCCCGTTAATTCTTGTAGCGTTTTCGTGAACAGAATCGCACTGTAACGTTGTCCGGGTACAACTTCTAAATGATCCACCACATGCGGCATAACGTACTTCCCATCAATCTCGATCAGTACTAACGATGCGTGTTCCTCAAACGCGACGTATACTTGAGAGAACGCCGTACCCCCGATAAACCGCACCCGGTAGGCTTTGTTCGGCTCCACATCCAGCACGGCCATCTCACACCCAGAGCCTTGCTGCTCTTGTGTGGCGTTAAGAGAGCGGGATTTTCCGTTGACGGCCACGTTATCCGGGTCACCGCTCCATGTGAACGGACGGCTGGTTAAATCGTTCAACATGAAGGAGTCGTTCTGGAAGTAGACGTCCGAGAAGAGGATGATCAGTTCGTCGTCGTAGTCGTATGGAGGTTTCTTGCCATCGGCCTCGTCAACGATCAGAACACCGCTGGCGGTGATGGACTGGAAGCCGACGTGGGAGTGGTAAAAGTAGGTGCCGGCATCGCCGGGTTGTAGTTGGAATTCGTAGTCAAAGTAGTGATGGGGTGGGATGGGCCACTGACTGGCCATGGGGGTGCCGTCTGAGAACGGGGATGTTCGCATGGTTAACCCATGCCAATGCTGCAAAAAGTGATATACATATCTCTATAAATACACCTCTGTAAAATATACCTCGTATTAACTGATATCATGAATTCGGAGAAACCTCAGATGTGCGTGTTTTACCTATTTGGTTTTATTTAAAAATTGTTTTATATATACTGTAACCGATTGTAACAAAATAAGATGTATTAAGAAATACGACACATTTTCTGTTTAGCGTCGCAAGAAGCCAATTATCAAATACATTAAGTTGCCCGTTATGCTGCACTTTAATCGGTTCGCTTAATTCTTGCAGTATATACTAGTGCTGCGCCGGTAGACTTTAATATAAAATTATAGACGTAATTGTATTATTGTTGTATATAACTAAGTTTGTTAAAAAGTTATGAAAAATGCAGTAAAAATATTATATTAATTGCTAAATACTGTTAGCTTATGTGTACAAAACGTACACACTTGACGTAATAATACCGTATTTTAGAGAAAATAATGCAATAAGTTAATATCGGTACCGCAGTTAACTTTTCTGTTAAATTACGTGCATTAAAACATTAGGTTCAAATACAGATTATGTGCCTTTCGGTTTTTGCTGGCTGCTACTTACTATGGTTGTGTTCTCATTGTCATGATCATTATACACCCGTATCCACGCTCGATCGCCCTCCTTAAACCGCAACGTCGGACCGGGCGCCGTTCCATTGACCACACTGGAATACCGGCTTGTACAGTCGGCCACCGCCAGCACCACTCCGGACACCCGCAGTATCATATCCGGCCGGAAGGTGTCATCGTGTACCACGACAGAAGGAGGCGTGGCGGGATAATAATTGGCAGCCGCCTGCACACATATCCATTGACAGACAACGGACGCAATAAAATATAAATAAATCTGCATAATATCCATAATTGTCTAACCCGGCGTGTATATTTAGAATAACAATGTAGCGTTGGCTTTTCGGAACGCTGGAAAATTTGTAACAAACCCCTGCGGCGGTGTCAAAAACCCAAGCGCGTTGAACGCTCGCGCGAAAGTGGCATTACTGTCATATATGCCAATGGAACGCTTCAATTTCGACGATATGCTCTATTAATCGATGATGTATTGTTATTAATCGGTATACCTTTTCACCACGCACCTTTTTGTAGGCTTGTTCGATTCCTTAATTTATTTTTCTGATAATAGTGATTTTGCTTTTTTTCTATAAAAGTAACACTGTACCGACCACCTACCATAAATACGTTAGAAATAACTATCTTCCCTCTGTAATTTGTAACAGCGCGTAGAGTTATTACAGTAACTCTACGCTCTGGATTCTATGCGGCAACAAAGTGACGAAAAGTTCACGCGTATCGTCACCTGTGGCACTCTTCGTACCAAAGAAAAAAAGTGAATCGTTTTTTCTCTCCTCGTAGTCACAGTAGACATCTGTATAAAGGCTGTAGACTCCCTGTAGACCTATCGGTAGTCACCTAGGTTTCTTAGGATGTATACAGCGTGTCTACAACGGTATCTACAGGTCGTCTACGGATGTCTACCGCTGTATACAGGCAGCCCTTCTTAGGTTCAGCTCGATACTCTGTTTGTATACACCGGTAGTCTTCTGTAGACATCCGGTAGACACCACTGTAGACATACTGCAGTCACCCGGTTTCTTAGGCTTTTTTTGGGTGCTTACAGGGTGCCTATAGGTTGTCTACAGGGTGTTTACCGGTTTTCTACAGATGTCTACCGTTGTATACAGGCAGGCTTACTTAAGTTCAGCTGAATGTTCTGCTGTATACACCTGTAGTCTTCTGTAGACAGCTCGTATACACCACTGTAGACATACTGTAGTCACTTGGTTTCTTAGGTTTTCTTAGGATATATACACAGGGTGTCTACAGGATGTCTATGTCTACAGGTTGTCTACAGATGTCTACCGCTGTATACAGGTAGCCCTTCTTAGGTTGAGCTGGATGTTCTTCTGTATACACCTGTAGACGCTCTGTAGACAGCCCGTAGACACCACTGTAGACATACTGTAGTCACCTGGTTTTCTTAGGATTTCTTAGGATTCTTAGGATGATTTCTTAGGATGGTTTTCTTAGGATGTATACAGGTTGTATACAGGGTGTCTACTGGTTGTCTACAGATGACTACAGTGACTACAAGAAGGAAAAAAAAAACGTTCCAGTTTTTTTCTTTGGTACGAAACGTTCCATATATAGTATCGTTCCATCGAACGGCAGTTAAGTATCGGTTATTAAGAGCCAATTACCTTCCTATTTATTGAAATAACGGGCACGTTCTCGCCGGCAATTAAGTGGCATCATGCGATAATTGCCATTGATCGGGTGCATGTTTTTCAGTGTTTTTTTTTCGGTCATGAAACTAACGTAAAGTGTGCAAGAACTATTAACCAAATATCTAGATTCTGTACACTGCTCGTTCTAATTACTGTGAGAAATGTTTCCGGAAGGCGTATAAATGTAGCACGTTAGTAGCAGATTATGTTATCCAAATCATAACACACATATTTGCATGTATGTACAGTAGGCACTTCCACAGAATAAATTTGGCGGGAAATAAAAATATTTTTCTGTGAAACTGTGAAAATTAAATGGGTATAAGTACTGTACGAGTATAAAAAATCTGTTAGGCGTATGAGAAATCTGTTACGCAAACTGATCAGTTTTAATAATGTATCCTGCACGAGTGAGAATTTTTAAGGGAACATCTGTTCTTTCGCATTGTGGATGCTAAAAGGGTGTAATCATTTTTATTGTGCCGACCCCTTAAATTCACAGTATTCCTGAAATTAAAATTTAACGAAGAAGCAGTGGAACCAATACAAAATGATAATTACAATTTAAAATGTGTTGCTGCATGGTGTACGGTGTGTTGTCGCGGCGAGAAAAATAATGAGAGCACATGTGAAATGACCGATGTGACTGCCATTTCAAAGGTCACAGTGCAAAGTGCAACTGCTATTGTATATATTTTTAATATCACTCATCAGCCGGAAATACTTCGTACTTTTTTATTGATTGCTGCGATGACCGGTAGCATATACACAGTAATGCAAGGAATATTATGAAAATTCAAAGTTTTCTTAGAGTAGTGCATGCACTAGGTATGGATAGCAATGCTTTTCATATAACATAATGTTCGGACTGTTAATGAGTAATTTACAAACATGCAGTTGAAGAGCAGACGCAGTCTGTACAATCAGCAGCCGGCATTTCCCCATTACACCGCGGCCTCTTCATTCTGCAGCTGCCACAACGAGGCGGCCTGCGGCGGCGTCCAGTTATACGCGTAGGCGTTATGCTGCTGCAGCGCCTTATACCGCTGTCCATCCCACACCACCACATCCCCGGCATTATACGACGCGCCCTTCTGCCATTCCCCCACCGTCGCCGGCGCCACGGTCGGCTGCACGATCATGATGTTGCCGATGCCGGATCCGCCGATGCCCGAGGCGGTGTTGAGGACGACGACCTGCCCGGAGCCCAGTGTCACGCCATCACCGGCGGCCGCCGCGCCGGATGCGGTGACCCCTTCTGCTGCGGCGGCCGCGGTGGTGTCCCCTTCCACCGGGACGAGGGTGGTCACTTCCACGGGAACGGCCGAGGCCACCTCGGTCACGACGGTCTGCTGGACGAGGACAGTGGAGGTCTCGGTGACGGCGTTGCCGGCGGAGTCGGTGACCGCCACGGGGACGGTCTCCTCATCGGGGCGGGGGCGGGCGTGAGCCGCCACTGCACAGAGTAGAATTAATACGCCGCTTTTTAGATACATGACTTCGGAAGAATGTTAATAATTGAAAAATAAATGCTTGATGAAGGAAAGTTTATGCTGTTAACGGTTTTCAATGGCCATTAAATACTGCTTGGATTTCCGTGATATCCATCTCAGAAATGTTTTCTATTACACATTTGCCGGAATAATCCCCGTTTATTCATGGAAGCTTCCGGAATTTCATTGCAAGATTATTGGTCGCACCATATAATTACTCATTTTGTTGCTGGACTCCAAAGGTCACTGCCAAGCGCCGGTGGTTTACCCATGCTGGTTCTCGTAAACACGGTACAATTTCCCACGGATGTGTGGAAAAGTTACCGCATATGGATGTTTCAGTTTGTAAATGTGGCAGTTAATACGGCGACAACGGTTGGCACGCAGACGTCGTGATTTTATCGGCATGTGTAATCATCGACGCTGAGGGTCAACATGCGCCCGCTTTCGCAAAGCAGTAGCTATTTTTCCTGAATGGGATTTGCAACGTATTTCTTGAAACACCCGTAGTGCGGAACGCTTTCTCTGTAACTAATATTTTTAAATTCCGACAGTACTTCGTTGCTAGAAAGCCGAAACATAAATTCAGCGTAGATACAAGAAGAATATAATAAGACAGTCACAAGCACAGTTCGCAAAAAAAAATAAAAGCAAATATGTGGAAAAATATCATATTTCGTAAATCTAGCGCTTAAAAATATATGTAGTAGCTGTTTACCACAGAGGATATTAAATGTAATAATATGATGTATTGCAATATATATACAGATTTCAGTTGATAATAATACGATATGTACAGTATTGCAATAATATAATCATTACAAAGAGTAATAATACGTTGATATCAAAATAACGTTCATCCCAGTTCCCAAAGTAAATTTGGTGGAGCTGAAAAACTATAACCAGGGCTATATCTGTATACATTTTTTTTACGACTGATTCTTAGACACTTATAAAATCTTAGAAAATCAAACTCAGAAAATCAATGCTACTTACTGTACCATAATTTGTTTTATCATCGCTTCAAAATTAATCCCACGAAGTGTGCAAAATGAATATCACCCAAAGGCACGCTTATTTTATTTCCGCTTAATTCAAACCAGTTCATCCTCACCGCAAAAACGAAACAAATGTACGATAATCCAGAAGCAGTAGCTGTCTTTTGACACTTCACATAAAATACCAGAATACCACACTGTTTTTATGCACGCATCAGCATCACCAGACCTTTGACCACTTTATACAGCACCACCACGCCCAACGCCGTCCCGCCCACCCCAATGGCGTAGGGTTTGAGAAAGGAGTAGATATTGGGATTCCGGTAGATAATGAGGACATTGTCGCGGTTGACGGCGCTGAAGGGAGCGTTGACGGTGGCCAGGAAGTGCTCCATGGCCAGATCCGTCTGGCATTCCGCGTGGATCTGGAGATGCTCCACGGCCTCCTCCAGATCGGGAAGAGCATACACGATGCGCTCGCCAGCGTCCTCTTCGGCAGAGGGATCATCCGAAGTCTGTAGGGCGACATCGCGGGCGGTTATGGAAGTGGATTCCGTCTGGGTCTGCACGTATTCACTGTAGGACAACAAATTGTTTTAGAAAAGAACAAAGATTGTTAATTTGTCAGTTTTCCTTCTGAAAACATGTTTAAAAGATTCCTCTGATTATGGTGCGAATACCTATCGATCGTAAACCTCGATTTCTATGGTTTTTTTAACAGAGCAGAGGAACAGATTCACTCTCGAAGAAAACTGCAATACCCGCCCATACATATTAGCAAAGCGTTTATGCAATATTTGATAGTAAGAATTTAAACCGACTAAACTTTATAATTATTGTAAACTGTATTTTCAAAAACTTTAGTCAAAAAAGGGATTTTTAAGCTTGAGTCTCACGATTTTGTGTGTAAACAATACTCAATGCAAATTGCAAAGTCAGAAGCAATATTGTACTTGAGTAACCTCTGCAGAAACAAGCCTCTGCACTACAATATTTCCACGTCCAACCACGAAGTTTTTCCAACAATTTTGAAACACCAAAGCTAACCAGACAACCAGTAAGCAGAAAATGCTTTTATAAATTCCAAAGCTTCTGTCCTACTTGTAAACATCACTAGCTTGCTGAGAAAACTGAAAACAAACACAAAAAAGGATTTCAAGTTACAAAAGCTTTTTCTAGTTGCAAAAAAAATAAGTGTTCAGTACGCCGCCGTACTGGTTGCTCTGAAAGCATCTACAGAATACAAATGACAAACCAAATCAGACTGGCCCACTGGCACACTAAAATTTTGAAAATAATTTTCCACAACGATATTCTAATTAATGGTAAAATCAAACTGGTCTTGCGAAAAGCACGAATACGATGGAGATTCGTGATTATCGACTGTGTGTATTTTGGCTGCATCAGAATTCAGAACTACATGTATGTACCATGAGATCCTACAGCAATAACTTCAAGAAATCAAATCACCGAAAACACCTACACCGTGAAAATCAAGAAAACTTAAAATTATTTCCACCTTACAAATTCCTTACCGTCTGAGCCGTCTCCTGACCAGATCCCGCATGGCCGTCTCGACACACTGCAGATTCCTCTCCAAGCACACCTGGAACTCGAAGACCTGCTCCTCCAGATCGCGCAGCGCCCCCTTATCCGCGCCCTCCCACGTCGTCCCCTCCGCGGCCGTCCCGACGTCCCCGTTGCTCTTGGCATGATTCTCTACCGGCAGACGGTGCAGTATCCCGCTGAAAGTGCCGTCCAGATGACGCACCCGCTTCACGCAGTCCTTCTGCGTTTTCTCCAGACGCTCCACGAGCGTCTGCAGCTGGGTGTAGTGCGCGGCCAGCTCCGTGTGCTGCAAGGTGAGGGTGTCATTTAGAGCGCTGTCGGTCGCGGTGGGGGATTTGCGGGGATTAGACTGTAGGGTGTTGGAGCGCGGCCGAAAGGCGATGGCGCCGTCGGGGAGGGTTTTGGCCGAGTCGCCCATCATCCACACATCGGATAAACGGATGGTGATATAACTCAGGATAAATTCAACACGGTGTGGGGGCCATGTAGTTAAATTACGACCAACACTTCACGGTGGCAATTAGAAAATATGATTTAAGAAAAGAGATGAGAGTCCCCTTAACCCAGAAATCTCTTTATGAAAAATCTCTCATCGCGTCATCCACAAATAAAATTACTGTACAAATTGCTTTGTTTGCAACCTGTCCCGTAAGGAAGGGAATAAAGGGATCTGTGAGCAAATGAAAATGCGGCTTTTTCCGGTACGCTTAAATGGTGTTGGAACTCGGCTGCATGTACCGTGTTGGAAATGGAACCGAGTATGAGTCGGCTACGGATCGTAGCAGAACCATGTAATGGAAATGGTAGCGAGCATCTTTGCTGCACACTCTGTTTGCTGGCCACTCGTCACTTGTGAGTGAGTTGTGACTTCACTGACTTCAACTTGTCAGTTTTGAATTTTTGTTTCTGACTGTGAGACTGTTAGGGTTTCAAAAACAAAAATGTTCTCAAGTATTTCATCTTGATCGTTTTCGAAAACTTATAAATATTTGATTCAGTGACCACTATCAGTTGGCGTTGCAGCCCAAAGCTTAAGCTTGCTGTCACGATCTCAAGGAGTTTGAACCCTGATGAGCGATGGGCTTCCAAAGTGAGCTTCTTTGAGTTTCGCTACCTTCGTGTTCATGCTGGTAGCCTGGTATTAATGTGATTCCTGGGTTATAATCTTGTTGGACCGAAACTGGAAGCATAGAAGCGCCAATAGACCATCCTGATTTATTTTGATATTTGTTACGCGTTCCATACTCGCCATGGCAGAAGACGATTTGGAAGAAATGCGCCATTTGCGACGTACGAGCAGTGACTGAAATTGTTAATGGCTGTTTGAGATTTTAGAATACAGTTGTGTCGTCTTTCATGTGCTATGATTGTTACGTAAAAATTAATGCTGAATGGTTATTTTATGCAGACAAGTTCCATGTGGGACTTCGTCCTAGTCGCGATGCTGGCTCGGACGACGATGAAGAAGCACACACCACAGCAGAGGAGCCTGCAGCAGCGTCTACCTACGTTTTTGGCTCCACACTCAACCAACCGTCTGCAGCGTCCGCCAAAGAAGAGGACGAGAACGAAACCATGGCAAAAATGATGGGTTTCTCTGGTTTCGCTTCAGGTGCGCTCACCCGCTCTTAGAAATCGTGTTTTGATATTTTCGTCGATAATTCCTGTCCATAAAAATTAATGAAAAAATGATAAAAATAATTTTAAAGAATTTTTTATTTTATCAATGAAAAAAAAAAATTTTAAAGATATTTTTTTTAAAATTGGTATTATTATTTTTATAATGTCCATAAAATTGTAGTCCAGAATTGTAAAATCGCTAAGACTGAAATAGCATAGACGTGAATTTTGCAATGTTTTCGTGGAATTTTCAGGTGCGAAAAAATCCCGGACTTTCGACATTGACACCCTGGTCAACGAGGCCCGCCAGAACGCCACGCTGTCATCCAAAGGAACGGAATCCGACAGCGACGACGACGCACCCGGTCCACCCCTACCCCCGAAGCCGTCAACGACCCCCGGGAGCACCTCCGGGGTAGTGGGACCATCCCCGCCCCCGTCAGCTTCTTCTTCGACGTTACCGTCAGGATCTTCACAATCTGACGCGGCCGATGATGATTCCGATGTGTCGGATGACGAGGAGAGCGGGGATGTGGAGGGAGGGGATTTCCGGATTCCTTGTTCGTATGATCTCACCTTCGAACACGGCGACAAAGCGGTAAGAAACTCAGCAAACTTATTTCGTTGATATTGGTAGAAATTTCACAGTGATTACGCAGAACATCTAATTGGGTTTACCGTTGCTTTAATCAGCGACCGTAAAACCGAGTAGGTGATAGATAATTATTTTTATCAGTAAAATGTGCTTTGTGTTTCGTACCGTTCAGTGATTGAATTGATTGAGTGTTAGCGTAAGATTTTTTGTGGATGTGTCGGTCGGTTTTTTTTTATTACTTATTTTAGTTGTGATGCAGTTATTGCTTTTATAGGTAGTCTTGAAAGTTTCACCGTTTGCGAACGTAGTTTGGCTGCAAAAATACGAATATTTAGGCAAAAATATATACGAATATTTAGTTATGCGCAATGAAATCGTAGAATAAGGGATTAGGCTCTCTGTACTATGCCACGAAAAAATCACTTGATTAAGACGATTTTAGACGGTCTGTGAAATTGATGATTTTTTAACAGTTTTTTTAATAATTATGTGCTTTGGTAACCAGTATTTTCTCTGATTTTTATTGAACTTGTTATTGAACTTGGAATAAAAATTAAATATATCTTGAACTAAAAATTAAATATGTTACGCAGTTGCAAAACAGCCGCTGTTTGATTAGACTTTAATATTGAACAGAAATTGTCCAAGCACACCAAATTGAAATTTCTAATTTTCTTTTGCTCTGAGTAAAAGTAAGAGCTGTTTTGGTGGGTGATTTTTGTTGACGAATAATTTTTTCTGGCAGATTACGGCCCTGAATGTGGATTCGGTCGGCGCGCGTTTCGCCACGGGCAGCGTCGATTACGAAGTGAAGCTGTGGGATTTTGGCGGGATGCAGGCCAACCTGTTCGCTTTTCGCACGTGTAAACCCTGTGAATCGCATGCCATCCACAATGTCAGCTTCAGCAACGGCGGGGAGCAGGTGCTGGTTGTCTCCGGCAATGCGCAGGCGAAAGTGATCGACCGGGATGGATTTAACGTCATGGAGTGCCCCAAAGGCTTCCAATACCTCAATGATATGGCCGCTACCAAGGTAATTTTAAGTTCAATAGAACAGATAATTTTCACATTCATAGACAAGTTAACGAAACATTAGTATGTACTTATCGTGAATATTCTGTTTGTAAATACCCGGTTGTTTTTATGTTAAAGAATAATTGATGGTTGGCGTTCTGAATTGCTGTGTGTTATGATTTTCGTTCACTTGGATCCGCGAATTCTTAATTGAACGGAATTGTTTTATACTGTAGTTTATTTTAATTTTTGTGTGTGTTTTTTTAAGCTAAAAGGCTGATAGATTGTCCTTCCCAGTCTTGAATTTTTGTATGTTATGTTTTCTGTTTAATTGTCAGTTTCAGGAAAGTATTTCTGATGTTAAAATATTTTTATTATTACGCGTATTAGTTTTTATCATAAAGATCTTGAATTATGTAAATTATATTTGGCGAATAATTTTCCCCGAGAAAGAATTAGTTGTATTTTTTGCATTGAAATGTTTCTGCTTTTTATTTCGTATCCGACAGTCGTTTGAGTTTTTCCGGCTCTGTCTAGGGTCACATCGGCATGTTGACTTCCGGCTGGTTTTCACCCAAAGTCAAATCGGAATTCTGCACTTCCTCCTACGACGGCACGCTGCGTATCTGGTCCATCGACAACAAAGAAAAGCACAAAGTCTGCCTGAAACTGAAATCCTCCAGCGGCCTCAAGACCGTCCCCACCACCTGCGCCTACAGTAAAGACGGGAAATTCGTCGCCGCCGGCTGCCAGGACGGCAGCATCTCCATGTGGGACACCACCAAAGCCAACTTTGTCAACCCGGCCAAGACCATCCGCAACGCCCACCAGAACGCCACCGACATTTCCTCCATCTGTTTCTCCTACGACAACCGCATGTTGTGCTCGCGGGGTCTGGACGACACGGTGAAGTTGTGGGATCTGAACATGCTGAAGAAACCCGTGTTCGAGGCGCGCGGATTATCCAATATCTCCTCGCAGTCCGATTGCGTCTTCAGTCCGAATGATAAAGTCGTTCTCTGCGGAACGGCGGTGCAGAAAGGCAGCGGGGAGAACGGGAAACTGGTGTTTTTGGACCGGAACACGTTTAATGTGGTGAAAGAGCACCCGGTCGGTCCGCAGAGTGTCATCCGCATCGTGTGGCATCCCCGGCTCAACCAGATCTTCGCCAGCACCAACGAAGGCACCGTCAAGGTCTTCTTCGATCCTAATATCTCGCACAACGGCGCGCTGCTCTGCCGGACGTCCAAGAAACGCGTCAAACCGAAGCTGGCGGATTCGGTGACCGCGGATTACGTTTATACACCGTTCGCGCTTCCTATGTACAAGGAAGAGAAGCAGCGCAGTAAGCAGGCGCAATTTGAGCGGGCCCGCAAGGATCCCATTAAATCCCAGAGACCAGAATTGCCGGTAACGGGACCGGGTGCCGGTGGTCGCGTGGGACAGGCGGGCGGGACGTTGAGCTCGTTTTGGTGCGGAAGTTGGGGTATGCGCAGAAGCGGAAGGATGAGGATGTGGATCCCCGACAGGCGTTGTTACGGCACGCGGAAGCGGCGGCCAAGGACCCGTATTGGGTGTCGCCGGCCTACGCGAAGACGCAGCCCAATACGATTTTCCAGCAGGGCGAGGGGGATGCGGCGGGGCATGAATTGGGGGAGAGTGTGGCCAAGAAACAGAAAAAGTTTTAGTTGTTGGGCTGTTGTTGTAGAAATGTACCTAATGGGTTTGATACAGTGTGGTACTGTATTACTCGTACTCGTAGTGTTTGATTGATGGCCAGTATGTAGCAATCATATGTAAGACAGACACGCTGTTTTTAAATAAGTGACGAAATCTTGTTGACACGAGTCGAAGGACGAATTGTCGCAGATGGAATAAAAGGACGATCATAAACTTTGTTGTGAAACTGTGATCGTTACCAAATATTACCCTTAATTCGTGCTCATAAGAAATTATGCTGGTATCATTTTACGTACTTTAATAAATGGACAAGCGGCAGTCAAAGAACTAGCTTTTGGTGACAACTTTAAAAGAAATACAATTCACAAAATATTACCTAAATTGGCACTGCTTAGTGCTAGCGGCTAGCCAGTAGCCACTATGTTCTAAAAGTGCGCAAAGTTGCCACAAACATTACCGCCCCTGGGGTCGAGTATCATATTAAAACTGTTCAGTGTTCTGAATTCTGATAGAGAATGCAGTCTTTCAATGTGTCTTTGCTGGGTAGTTGCCTAGTTGGTACAATGGTACTCTTTAATAACTAATAAGCGTATTTAAGTACTTTTCACCTTTTTAAGTACTGTAACAGTAAGTTTTCTAACTGCTGCAGCAAAAGTTTTGCTGTATTAAATTTATGTACGGTATCTGACTATCTGCCTCCAAAATGATGTCTCATGATCATCTTGAACCAATGGCCACCTGCTCAGATAGTGAGGAAACGTTCAACCAGAAACGCAAACGATGGGAGCGGGACGAGAAAGTTCCTCGCACGGGAGAATCAAACAGCGTTCCGGACGATTCTCCTAACTCTTCGTTCCCAGATGGAAAACCGATGAAGGCCCTGGAAAAACCGAATGTGCTGGTAATGCTTTTTGAGAATATCTGTTATTGGTCCGAACTTTCCGGCCGAAGATCAACGATCAGTAAGAACTTTAGAAGCATACTAGTACACTAAGTAGTACTTCATTTATAATTAAATTTTTTTTTAATTAATAAGATTTTGTCCCCCATTGTAATAATATATTTTAAACTGTTCGAAGAATAAACGTTCAACCAACGGGAGTTTTTATTCGTAGAAATACTCCGAGCGACCCGATACGAATGTGCTGAAAACGACCGTAATTCTTAACAAAATTATTGTTCGCACAACGGAACTGGCCAATCATGTGCTTGTTATGGGAACAGTATCGGTAGGAGACTAATGATAAATCTTCTGGCTGGCTAACAAGCTTCTTGGTTACCGTTATTTATTTTTTTTATTTATTATTTATGGATTATTAGTCATTCGTGTGTTATGTGACTGTGTGTCTATGTCTACAACTGGCCACTTCTGTAGTATTCTGACAGTCCTGTCAAGTGTCCGTACGGGGCCGAAACCAACGCCTGTAACAACGTCAAGTTTGTGTCGACGGATCGGCTGAAGGCGCATTTGGAAGTCGCGCACCAGTTGCCCAATGTGCAGATCAATCTGTTGTGTCCCTGTCCGGCGGAATGCAACGGAGATAAGGAATGTCCGGTTGCCATATATGATCAGTACTCAGGACTGTATCTGGTAGATCATTTGACCGAGGCTCATGAGCAGTTCTACAACAAACTCCAGGCATTACTGTGCTGCGTGGATGTTGACGATGACGATGACCAGGATGACCTCGAAGCATTCCTGAAGGAAAACAATTTGGTACGGTTTCATATTAAAAATTTTTTAGTACGAAAACTGGATTGCATAATATATAAACGGGTCATTATTCTCCTACTACGTATTATTAGTGCGAAAAGGTGACTGGCGAACGGGTACAACATTGTGTTCGCTGTTACTGGCAAGTTAACGCTTTCATTGAGTCTGAGTACAAAATTTCGGAAGAGGCTTCAGATGGGAGAATTAAGGTGTGCTAATGAAATCTGAACGCGCCAGCTGTTGTCAGGCTCCTTTTTACGAGGGAGCCAGCAAACTTGAAAGGATTATTATATTATTTTCAACACACGATAAATATGCCATTTTCTTTAATTCGCTTGCTGTAACATGTACTGAACACTGGATGGTTTTTTCTCCGGCTTTCTGAATACCTAATACTGCATCGTCAAGCTTCGCGCGAAGCTGTGAGTGCTTTTGCGTTTAGTAAACGAAAGAGCTTAATAAAAAATGAGCTGTAGTTCAATATAAATTTTTTATGGATTTTAAATTTACTGAACACGTACATTATTATGTTCACGGATACGGTCAATAAATTCTGCTAGAATGCGGAACATACGAGTAATTACGTTTCATAATGTCCACTTCCGCTGTCCAAATTTATTCTAATTTAACTCTTGTTGTAAAAACAGAATAGGAAAGATATGGATTATCTCAAGCATCTGGATGGGCGTAAAACGTTTCCGGAATGGACACGCGATGTGACTAAACCGTTCCAAAGCCAGCTGATTCCAGACAAATTCGTTCAGCCAACAGTTGTAGAGGTGTGGTGCATTTATTCTAATGACAGATACAGATTATAATTTATTCTAATCTGTACCCTACGGTCCACAGGAATGTTCTGATATTTTGCTAAGCACTGAGTGATTGTTTTGTAGAATCGTTGCTTGTATTACGTCTGCAACCTTGAACCATGTAAAGGGAACCGTTTCCCCAGCCCGCGACGAATCAGAAGTCACATTTGCACAGTGCACCTGGAACAGGTGCCCATGCAGACCGACCTTTACTTTGGATGCCCTGCCCCAGTGAGTAATTGAAGCTGTAGCACGCTATGTGTACCTTAAGCGTTTGGCCTTTTCGTGGCTAAAGCGCATGTGCTGTGAGTAGCTGAAGCGTTTGTGCTTTTTCTGCAGGGATGCAAGGACATCGTGAAGTCCAACACGAATCTCATAATATCGCACGTGAAAGCGATGCATCCTTCTTTGTGCGGCAGGCCTGATTACTCGCAGAACGCTTTGCAGGTGAGTGTAGCGTTTTCTTTCTGATAATCTTACTCATGAAGCCGCTGCAGATTACAGATTTCATTTTTTTTAAAATTTGAAATTAGGATTAGTCTCATCGCAGTACGGTGATAATAACAATAATACTGTATCAGTTTTATTTATTGTCCTGTGCAGTGGGACAGATATCTCCTCTGGGCATTTGACACTATTTTACAAAAACCACAGCATACTAATTTTGAAAATAAAGATACTGACATGCTATACGGAAGTCGCAGCAAATGACGCATACTGCGTCAGTACTGATATTAAAAAGATTATTAGACGGCGAGCGGCTATTGTACAGCATAGCCATCGTGTTCGTATAAAATGCTGGCTGAAAATTCTGATTTTATGTGCTTTGGTGTTCATAGAAACGAGAGCGCATGATAATGGAAATGGATAGTGGTTCTGTACGGGTCAGTCAGACTCTGGACGATTCATCTGAGGATTCCGATGACAGCAGTCCTGATAGCGAAAAGGAGGAGTACACGCGGTACTTGTACAAGTACTCATGTCCGGCTGAGGTATGTGCGGAGAGTTGATTAATAAAACAACATTGCGTTAAAAAGTGTGCTATAGATGCGTGTTTCGGCATAATCTGGAAGTTTTATTGCTGTGTTGTAGGGTTGCACGGTGGTGTACTGGGATCGGGATTATATGATTTGGCACATTGGAGCTGATCATCAAAAAATCTGGACTACTGCTTGAAGTATATATAATACCGTTTATTATTAATTTTGTGCTGGTAGAAAGAAGATTTTGATAGATTATCGTTTCCAGTTTTGAATGTTGGTGTGATGTGTTTTTTAATTTTTAACTTCATGAATTTATTTTTAATATTATTATGTTTAACGTCATGCGTATTACAAAGTGGTTTTTATTATAGCAGTGTTAAATTATATTTTATTTACCGACAAATTCTCGATAAGCTAGTTTTGTATTTTTGCATCAAACTATTTGCCGATATTTTCCGTTACCGAGTTTGTGTTTGTAAGGTTCTGTTTAGGGTGACGTTGCTATGCTAACTTTCGGCTGGTTTTCGCCCAAAATCAAACCGGAATTCTGAGCTCCTCCTACGACGGCACTCTCCGCATCTGATCTATCGACAACAAGGAGAAGCACAAAGTCTGCCTGAAACTGAAATCCGCCAGCTGCCTGAAGACCGTCCCCAGTCCCCACCACCTGCACTTACAACAGGGGCCACAGGGCACTGCTTATCCGGACGCCCCGAGAAACGCGTCAAACCGAAGCTGGCGGATTTGGTGACCGCGGATTACGTCTATTACCACGTTCGCTGTGCCCTTTGTACAAGGAAGAGAAGCAACGCAGTAAGCAGGCGCAGTTTGAGCGAGCCCGCAAGGATCCCGTTAACGGGAGTAAAAGAATTAGCTTGCGTGACAACTTTTAAAAAGAAATACAATTCAGTTTTGTCAGTTTTTTTACATGTTACTGTAAATACAATTTTTACGACAGCGCTTGTCGATAGAAATTCAACGGAAACGCGGCGTCAACGCTGAGCAGTGGGCACGATGGAAGGAATTAATAAATTAAATAAGATTATAAGATGTTCTTGTTGTAATTTTTCCTGGTTCTTTCATTTTGTGTATCACGTCTGTTTTGACCAATAAAATTACTTACCATAATTCGCTGTTTGTGTGCATGATCCATCGTTGTGAACAGACAGCTGAAAACGTTGGCTGAATTGCTGACGGGCGCCGCAAACGTTTCCGCCGCCGGGTTCCAGTTTCAGATTAAACTGTTAAGACAAGCCACAACTGACAAGCGAGTGAAGGAAGAGTCACTGGAGAGTGAAGAGTGAAGACCAACGATTTTCGCGCAGCAAACTGCAGTTTGCAAATACTATTTTAATACTAAATTTTACTGTAAAAATTATATTTTTGAGCGTCAAATATTTGTTTTCATCCGGTTTGCTATCAATTTGCAAATACGTTCTACGCATGTAAGAGTAGTAGCCTGTTGCGACGCGTCAACAAGCCAGGGTGACTCTGCACTTGGGGACTTTTTCTTTAACGTTGATTCGCGTTTTGGCGCCATCGCGGCGTACTTTTTCGTGAGTTTTGTAACTGTATTAAATTTATGGTCTGCTCCAAAATGATGTCTCATGATCATCTTGAACCGATGGCCACCTGCTCGGATAGTGACGATACGTTCAACCAGAAGCGCAAACGATGGGAACGCGACCAGAAAGTTCCTCGTACTGGTGAATCCAGCAGCGATCCAGACGATTCTCCTCACTCTGAGTTGTTCCAAGACGGAAAGCCGATGAAGGCCCTGGAGCAACCGAATGCGCTAGTAATGTAGTAATGTAGTAACCAACCGTAGTAATGTTTTCCTTAAAAAAATTTCTTCATGGTCTGCGCTTTCACGCCGAAGAACAAAGATCACTAAAAGCATAATCTGAATATTAACAATTAATTGTAGAATTTAAGTATGTATATTATAATTAATTACTTATTATACAGAGTAAATCAGGCTGAATTTCCGTGAAGTTTGTGGACTGTTGTTAAAAGTACTTACTGTACTGAAACTGAATAATGATAACTGCTTATCGCACTGGAATAATCCATTCTGGACTGCGTGAAAATAAACGTGATAGGAACTTGACTTTTTATTCGTAGAAATACTCCGCGCGACCCGATACGAAAGTGCTGAAAACGACCGTAATTCCTGATAAAATTATTGTTCGCCAAACGGAACTGGCCAATCATGTGCTTGTTATGGGAACAGTATCGGTAAGAGACTAACGATAAATTTTATGGCTGGCCAATAAGATCCTTGGTTACTGTCACTTATGTTTTTGTTATTTATTGTTAACTGGCCTTGACCGCTTACAATCTGCAGTATGGAGACAATCCTATCAAGTGCCCGTACGGAACCGAAACCAACGCTTGTAACACAGTGGAATTCACGTCGACGGATAGTCTGAAGGCTCATCTGGAAGCTGCGCACGAACTAACTAATGTTCAGGTTAATCTACTGTGTCCCTGTCCCGCGGAATGCAACGGAAATGAGGAATGCCTGGTTGTGGTGTACGATCAGTACTCCGGGGTGTTTCTGGATGACCACATGACGCTTGCTCACAAGGAGTTCTATGAAAAACTGCAAACATTAACATGCTGCGATAAGCTTGATGATGACCAGAAGGAATTTCTCGAAGCATTTCTCGAAGAGAATGATTTGGTATGATAAAAGCGTTTTTTTACCACAGTTAATCCGCCGGCATCAACCATACAAAATCCTTTCTGTAGAAAATTCTTCGTATCAGTAAAGCTGGTTATTTCGAAGGCCTAACAAAAATATTGCTACTTTATTATTTACAGTGCTTAATAATACTCGTACTTTGTGTAATGATTAATTTCAACCTTTGGTCTGATAACAGAAAATGGACGATATAAAATATCTGGACCATCTGAACGGGCGTAAAACATTTCCGGAATGGGTACTTGATCTGGATGCAAAACAACCGTTTCCTAGCCAGATTATTCCAGATAAATTCGTCATTCCTACCGTCGTAGAGGTGGGGTTGCAATTAGCAAAATGATTATATTTATCCTCCAGAATTCTAGGTAGATGCGTTTTGCAGCAGTTTATAGAACGTTCGTTATTTCACAGAATTGCTGCTTACGTTACGTCTGCAATCTTGAACCATGTAAAAGAACTGTCTTTCGCTACGCGCGACAAATAAAAAGTCATATCGCTGTTGCGCACGAGGAGCAGGTGCGCATGGAAACCGACCTGTTCTTTGGATGTCCTGCTCCAGTGAGCTCTTTTTCTACTTTGACATCTGTCTGAACTTACTCTGAAGTCACTAAAGCGTTTGGGTTCATTCACCAGGGATGCAATGATATCGCGATGGCCGAAACGAAGCATATGGTATCACACGTGAAAGCGATGCATCCTTTACTCTGCGGCAAGCCCGACTACTCCGAGAACGCATTGCAGGTGGGTGTTGTAATTTGAATATTAACACTTTCGACCGAAGCGTAGCGAAGGTTCTCTATATTAAGTTTCTATGAAAAATGTGGTGTCCGTCTGTCACCGCCACCTCACTTTGAAAGGTAAAATTCTCATGGCCACTTTAGCTCCACTAACAATAGAATGGGGCTAAAACTTTGTTTTTTTGCTGTCGTGCAAAGCGATTTAATCTGGCGGTGGCGACTGGAGATATGAGTTAATTTAGTATGGGAACTTAGGAATTCAGATTTCAAGACAATTTAATACTGTTCGTTGTGTTCACAGAACCGAAGGGACTTGATAATGGATATGGATCGGCGTCGTGTGCTCGTCAGAGAGACTTTGGATGGTTCCTTGGAGAAGTGTGAAGATTGTTGTAGTGACAAAATGCACCGGCACTTCTGCAAGTACTCGTGCCCTGTACCGGTATGCTGGCTCATAAAGAACTTCTAAATTTCGAATTAAAATACCAGTTTTCCAGTTTTAAGGGCAGGCAACATGAGCATGCTGACCATATGGTGGGCTTCTCGTACTTCTTCCATGCAGCAGCTTTTGAACTTAGGAAAAAATCGTAACAGTAAAACATTTCACACAATGACACACATGCTTGTTTCGTCGTATAATTGGTATATTTATGTACTATTTCATTTACCTGTGGCACAACGTATTAGCACTAACTGAAAAATCATAATCGGTAAGTATGGTTTGATTGTCTTGTAGGATTGTTCGGTGGAGTACTGGGATCGTGAGTACATGGTTTGGCACATTGGAGCTGATCATCAGAATCGCTGGAATATTGCCTGAAAAATGCAGTCGTAGTTATGTGTTTGATGCTCGCAAGAAATCGCTGGAATATTGCCTGAAAAATGCAGTCGTAGTTATGTGTTTGATGCTCGCATTTCTGAGAGTTGGCGCGCGTTGACGATCGGGTCCGCTGCCGCGATACACGTACATCAGTACACAGCTTCGTCGACGTGAGAATGGCATCCCACTGTTGACAGGTGCGGCGGCAGCGCAGCCTTTTAACGGTGTCCAATGACTGAAAGGTCTCCTTTAGCACTTCCAGCGGCAACGCCAATACGCGCTCAGCGGCACACAACGGCTGTTTCCGTTTCGGCTCGGCATCCGACTCTGCGGATTTCTTGCGCAACTGATTATAAAAGGACGATACTGTCTGGCACTTTCGAACGCCCTAGCCTGTCATTGAATTTGGGGAAACTCAGAGAACACGACAAAAATGCTCGGTTGAATGTGTGACCACACCGTTCCCAACCTTTCCAGCAACGCTCCGGCCTGTCAAGGCACGCCAACGTGCATTTTTTCCAGTTATGTGCTATGTACTATCAATGATTCACCGGTCGGGTCATCGTTTCTTCGGTCAGCAAAACGTCCTCAGCAAATTGTCGATCAGCAGGAAAGTGGTCAGCGAATTTTCCGTGTGTCAAATTCCTGAATTCGACGTCTGAAAATTCACTCGGAGGAGACAACAGAAACTGCATTTTTTTGCGCTGTTACCTTGAAGTTCAGTAGGATTTTATGAGAAATGTACACAGCTTGGATCGAAATAATTTCAAAACAAACAGCTGTTGTGGAAATTCATTAACAAGTAAAAAATAAATCCGTTTCGCATTTGCCGGTACTCAGAGTTAACGGATTCAAAAGTGGTTATGCACGGAATGAAAGTTACCGCGAATGGTTGTAGGCGCAATTTGCGTTATTGTTTGTTTGTTTGTTATTGTTTTATTATTTGTGTTATCGTTTGTTGGCACTTCCGTAACGGACACAGATACAGTACGTTTTTGCATTGGTGCTGAATTAAGAGGACCTTCGCTGCACTCCGGTCGATAATATGTACTGTGTACTTGGCAAATGGCAACTTATTTTACTTCTGCCAAAGAGCACAAACAGGCGGTTTGAATAGTTTTCCTTTTGTGGTTTCTCTGCATGAACTTACATAATAATATTAATGCTATTATTATATTGCTATACATAATACCAGTCAGATGTTAAATCAGCTTGTTTAGGCTATGTATGTACCGCATTTTTTAGGCCGGTATAAATGGCAGGCATTACAGTAGGCCTTTTAATGCGAGTCTTGCGATGCAGCCATCATGCAGGCTGACGCAACAACATTACGAGTATTGCGATGGTGTTGCGACTGTCGCTAACTTGGGATTGTTTTATTTATTACTGCAGCTTACAGTTCTGTGGGAACAACTGTGTACACACTGTACAGTACAATAGTACTGTGGAGTGTGGACAACGTTTTTTGTTGTATTAAATTTACCGTTTTCAACCATCAAAAATGATATCACGCGATCATCTTGAACCGATGGCCATCTCCTCGGATAGTGATAATACGTTCGACCAGAAGCTCAAACGTGGGGAGCGAGACGAGAAAGTTCCTCGTACTGGAGAATCAAGCAGCGACCCGAACGATTCTCCTAACTCTTCGTCCCAAGATGCAAAACCGATGAATTGCCCGAAGCTACCGAACGTTCTGGTATATTTATCGAGGAACCTACATCCTCAGAATATTATAGGCTGATGAATACAGACCAGCAAAAAGCGGATCGAATTATCATAATTATTAATTTTATTACTTGTATAGTAGTGTACTGCAAACTAAAGTATGTAGTTCAAGTAAGTCAACAGAGTTTTTAATATTATTCAGAATAGATATGTTGAGCTTATAAAGAGACGCTTTCTATTAATTTTGTTAAAGATATGCGATTTCCTAGAAATACTCCGCGCGACCCGATACGAAAGTGCTGGAAACGACCATAATTCCTCATAGTATTATTATACGCAAAACGGAACTGGCCAGTCATGTGCTCGTTATGGGAACATTATCGGTAAGAGCCTGGTAAAACATTTGGAAGAATAGCGAGTACCAGTATAATTCTTATTGGTTTTTATTATTCTGGACGTTTGTCTTAGCTGTACTGTACTTATGAAGTTACGTTTGCGGTTTCTCTTTCAAACTGACCGACTACAATGTGTAGTATGGTTACAATCCGATTAAATGTCCTTTATACGGGACCGTAAACGGCGACGCTTGTAAGAACCTGTGCTATACGTCGACGGAAACACTGAAGGCACATCTGCAAGCCGCGCACGCACTAACCAACGTGCAGATCAATCTGTTGTGCCCATGTCCTGCGGAATGCAATGGAAATATGGAATGTCCGGTTGTCGTTTATGATCAGCACACAGGAATGTTTTGGAGAATCACCTGACAACTGCTCATGAAGATCACTTTGAAAAACTGCAAACATTAATGTGCTGTATGAACCCGGATGACAAATCGGATTTCCTTGAAGAATTTCTGGAGGAATATGATTTGGTATGACAACTATGCAGCATGCGCCTTTATAAACGCTATTAAAACATGTTTTGTAGACAGGCAGCAGTTAAAACTTAAAATTAACAGTAGGCACTAGGCAGCTAGCTCTACGGATCGGTAGTACGAGTATCGAGACAAGTTAGTTCGTATATACATTCATTTGGTTTATTTGAAGAAAAGTAAGCACGTGGCTTTAACTTAAACTTTGAAAAATATCAGTAGAAGAAGTAACAGTACAAGAAATCTTATATCAGTAGAAAATAGATAAATTTCATTTCAGTTTTAACCTGTGCTTTGAACACAGAAACTGGAAGATATGGCTTATCTCAAACACCTGGATGGGCGTAAAACGTTTCCGGAATGGGTATACAACACGACTCAGCCGTTTCCCAGCCAACTGATTCCAGATAAATTCGTCATTCCAACCGTTGTTGAGGTTCGGTTCATCGTTTACTGTAATAGATATGCACGGTTGGTCTACTCGTACAGAAGATACACATCACATGGATATTGAGATTTCTTGCACGAATGTGTTTGGTTAACAGAATTATTGCTTGCGTTATGTCTGCAATGTTGAGCCGTGCAAAGACAACATTATCCGCAACTCGCAGCAAATGAGAATTCACATCTTTATTGTGCATAAAAGTCAGGTTCGCAGGGAAACCGATGTTTTCTTTGGTTGCCCGGCCCAGGTGACTGAAGTGAGTTTTCTTCAACTTGGTATTTCTAGCATAGTAGAAGTGTGTGGGTTCTTTTGGCAGGGATGCGAAGCCATCGCAAGGTGTAACACTAAAGACATGATATCACACGTGAAAGCAGTTCATCCCTTGCTTTGCGGCAAGCCTGGCTGCTCGGGACGGCTTTGGAGGTAGGTATTACTAGGTAATTTGCTTGGTAATAGATGAATATGAAAAGCCCAAGATGTTTAGAAATGCAATTGCAGTGGTTCTGCCACTGCTGCCGTCAGTGACACTACCGGGTAGCGGCTGCCATTGAAATTATCAAATGTGATTTGCGTACTTACCTATACCTAATAAAACACGTGCATCAGTTGTGCAGTGCAGTAGCAGACATCTCATATTACGTACCGTATTTAGTTTACGTCTTGCAGTTCTACAGTATCTACAAACGCATTTATCTGGAAGTGGGAATCAGAGGGATTACTAGGGTAGAAAGTAGTTAAACCTGGAATTTAAAACATGGAAGATCGAACTTTTTTTGTTGTGGTAAGGTCCTCATTGGTTTTCACTGATAGACAAATCGGATTTCTGCATCTTCCCATACGACGGCGCCTTCCGCATCTGGTCCATCGACAACAGAGAAAACACAGAGTCTGTCTCAAAGTGAAATCTTCCAGCGGCCTCAAGACTGTTCCCACCACCTGCGCCTCCAGCCAAGAACGAAAATTCGTCGCCGCCGGCTGCCATGACGGCGGCATCTCTTTGTGGGATACATCTCCCATATGTTTCTCCTACGACTAACCTGTTTCAATTTGAGACAAGTGAAAATACCTTCATTGTTAGCATATTGTGCAGTGTGCATGCTCTCAAAGGACTGGTACCCATGGTCTGCTTTTAATCGCACTGTAACAACTGCATCCAACGTTAAACAAAACGGTGCCCAGAACCGTTAGAATATTCTAATTACATAGCTAAATGATCACAACTGTAGTTTACAGTTGTGTACAGTTTACTCTGTACTGTGTGCAGTTGTTTGCAGTTTAAAACATGCGGCGGATGCATGCCACTCGCTTCGAAACGCTCGTCAACTTTACGGAAAAAATGTTTTTGCATGTTGTGACATTTGTTGCCGAAGCCAAGATGTGCAAGACCTACTTTTGGAAGAGTTCGCGCACTGCACAGCCTGCACTGTGACGCGCGGTGCACCATTTAATTTTCATTGGCAAAACAAAACAAACAAATTTCCTGGACTGAAAATCTTGGCTAGAAAAAGAATTACTACGTATTATTAGGCTTAGTACTCCTGGAATAGCTCCATTACTCCAGTAAAGTTTCGGACGAATAGTAAACAGCAAACGTTTGGGTGGGAAGAAAGTAACAGTAACGTAAAGTAATTATACACTACGTGGACAATCTCTCGATTGTGCAGCGGCAGGTACGGGATAAAAAAGGAATCTCTGGGATTTAAAATAATTTCGGATTTGTGTATATAAAAGGAATAATAATAGTAGGGGAAAGAATTTTGTGAGTGCATGAAGGACATGAGAGGTTGTGGGTGTTTCTTTACTACAGTTGAGACCTTGAAAATTGCGCGTTTAGTCTGTAACTTTCCATAGGTTTACACAGTCATTTTGGTGGTAGTAATTTGTGTAGTAGTAATTTGTGTAGTTAAGAAAGTTGATTGCTTAATGGAGCGAACTATTATGTTTTGCACTGATAGTCTTGGATGTGTAGTAACAGGTGGTTTGTATATGTGATGTAGGCTGGGACGTACATTAAAAGGTTGTTCGAGAGAATGTTTGGTTTAATTGGTTTGTTGACTGGATTTTTTTGAGTTCGGTGGGTATATTAGAAGTTGAGGAACGTTGTGTTTGAGTTATTATGGATTTGACAAAGTATATGCAGTGAGGAGAATGTTTTTCTTGTTGGTTATTTTCTGGTGGCCGGTTTAGATTTTCGGAAGCGTACCGATTCAGGTTGTTGAATTTTGTTTGGTCTTTTTAGGTTAAGTATAGTTTAGTAAGTTTGCTTTCATAGATAGCTTCTTTTAAGTATTGTTTTTTTTTAATAGAATAATGGAAACTGGTTGTGATCGCAAGAAATACATGCGTGAGTATGTGCGTGATTATAGAACAAAAACGCAAAACGGAAATTGATGGTAATTGTAGCAAGGAAGATAATGAAGTAGTGATGATGTTAGACATGAAAATTTGAAGTCAAAAAACAAAAATGTAAACTTAACAGGGTCAGCAAAACACAACAAATTCAGGACAAAATCGTAAAGTAATGCTTAAGAAAAGATCCGGACAACCATTACATACTACCATACTCCGCAAATGTCGTTTAGCACGTTCCCTTTACAACAATTGTCCAATAATTGTCCAAAAATTCTCCAATAATTTTTTCCAAACATACCAGAAAACGCACCACCTTTAGTATTCCGATTACATTTTTGTTTTTTAACTTTTACATTCTCTATCTAACATCATCACTACTTCGCACATTATTCTCCCTGCTACAATTACCATCAGTTTTGATTTTGCATTTCTTTATATAACCACGCATATACTCACGCATGTATTTCTCACGATCACAACCACCTTCCATTATTTTATTAAAAAAGAATTCTGTAATAATGTATGAAAGAAAACTTACTAAACCAAACTCAACCTAAAAAGACTTACCAAAGCCAAACAAAAGACAGCAACCTGAATCAGTAAGTATCCACAAATCCATACCGGCCACCAAAAAAAACCAACACGAAAAACATTTTGCTCACTCCATATACTTCGACCACTCCATAATAACTCAAACACAAGATTTCTCAATTTCAACCGAACTCAAAAAATCCAGTCAACAACCAAATTAAACTATACATTTCCTCGAACAACCTTTTAATGTACCTACCAACCTACTTCCCACATACAAACCACCTGTTCCTACACATCCAAGACTATCAGAGCAAAACATAATAGTGTGCTCCATTAAGCAATCAACTTTCTCGAAATTTCTTGAATTTTCCACAATAATCCATCACTATCTACAACCCGCAACACACTCCACTTCCTGTAACACTTCATTAAACACTCAAATGCAAACAACCAGAAAGTCGAATATATTTCTACCATACTATAGTAAAACTCCCACTACCTTCACCCTAATTTAACATTCACCCTTTCTTCATTATCACTTTTCGTCAAACATATCACTTTTAATATAATTTACTATATTAACAAATTCTCTATTCAGCACTTTATTTCCTACCCTTATAATCTCCACATACAATATGTTCTGCAATGTGCTCCTACATTATGTAGAAGCACATTGCAATGTGTATATAGTGTTGGCCGGCCTAGGGCCGCGGCCGAACGGCCCGGACCGAGGTCAGCCCGCCCCTTTGGGAGGGCCGCGTCGGGCCGCGGCCCTCGGCCAGGGAGAAGGGCCATGGCCCGGGCTGCGGCCCGGGCCGTGGCCCGTTGTGGACGTTAAATATGGAAAAACCTTGAAAAACAAAAAAATTTCTTTGGGTTTTACTGAAATTTAGTCTTTTCGATGAGTTTTTCTTAATTTTTACAGCATTAAACGTTTCTAGGCCAAAATCCGTCTATTTTTCCGTTGACATACCCGCTGTAGCCGCTCGCATAATGACATCCGGGAATGAAATCTTTACTTTGCTGCAAGACGGCCCGGGCCGCGGCCCGGGGACATGTCGGGCCGCAGCCCGGATCGGCCCGCGGCCCGGGCCGTGTAAACGACGGCCCGGCCCTCTTGCTCGGGCCGGGCCGGGCCGGGCCGCGCCGGGCCGGGCAGGGCCGGGCCGACCCAACACTATACATATGAAGGAGCACATATATGTAGGAGGACATATATGTAGGAGCACATTGCAGGAGCATACTGGATTACGTTTGTTTGGATACTACAATTCCGTTTTTCTCCTCCAAGAACCGATGCAATGTGCTCCTGCATTATGTACGAGCACAGTGCAAGGTGCTCCTACATAATGTAGGAGCACATAATGTAACCTAAAAAAGATGCCGAGCTAACAACGCCATCTACAAGTTTCACGCATCGTTACTCGACTCATGTCACATGACTCATGTCACATGACTGTTAGGCCCCACCGCTTCCTTCAACCGGCCGGACCCTTCCGTACTCTACGGGCGCCAAAAATTACTTTTGTTTACACACGGATATCGAAGACCAAAAACCGAAACTACAGTTTTATATATGCTACGACTGATTCTAGTCGTATACCGCACCTGTCACGGTTCAATGAACCTGCCGCAAAATTACGCGAGCGTAAACGGTAAGGGTCAAAAACTGGCAGTAATACAGTACAACGCCGTTTTCAAACTACAACAGATTTAGCGCTGGGGTCGCGGGATGGCACCATATATACGTTGTCGTCATCCGCCGATGCTGAACATGTAGTGCGATAACGCCGCAGGCAGTACCGGTTCAGTTTGCCCACGTCAGGCGAACCTTCACCGGTTAGATCGTCTACACTCCACTGGCGTCCATGGTAATGTGCCGACGGACGGGGATTCCTGCTTTGGTAGTCCTGAAGAATCTACAGAGTTATTCACTGGGTTTCACGGTGTACCTAAGCAGACTAAGAAGATTATCAGCCAAATTTGCCGAACCATACCGGCAGCCGGATTTGTTTCTCCTGAATTCTCAAATTTGTAAATCTTGGCATTTAATTTCCAGTGTCACGAAAAGATGGAACTCTGGTTTGGTGTAAAAGCGACCTCCACAATTAACTAAACAAGTGGAAACTGGGATGCCGATGCGCTCCAAAATTTAAAATAATAAAATCACGAACAGGATGCGACAGGAACCCTAAACACATCCAGTTCCCTTACATGCTGACTGCCGAGCACTGAAATGGAAATTTGCTGGGACAGAAAAGCGTCTGAAAATGAGGTGACTGATTTCGAAATCCTCCACCTAAGTCTCTAACCATAAGATGCACATTTACGAAGCTAATTTTCCAGGGTGATGACGACAGCCGAATACGGAATTCCAATGCGGGAACAGCGTCCGTGCCTAACAGTGGCAAAGCATATCGTGCTCCGAGCGTGTGATTTGGAAAGATTCTTTCCAAATCACACGCTCTATACATTCACAGCCATCTCATCAGAAATCCAACTGAATTTCCATGGAACACCTTGTGCTGGCGGTGCGATCGTGATGGAACGCTGGTGCACGATGAGACGTTCGAGACGGATACCAGCATGCATGGCGGTCTCCTCAACTAACCATAGCGCTTCAACTAGGTATTTGGCGCGAAGTTATGTATCGGCGGTATTTACAGTAAATGCATTTTGCATGTATGCTTATTTTTCCTGCATTAATTTTACGCGTTTTACAATGGTGGAGGTCGATTACATTTGGGTAACCGTTGCGCGTCGGGTAACGGGGAAACGCGTAAAAAGTGTGACGTAACAGCGCGTAATTAAGTAAACATTCTGATTGGTAATCGCGAAATCTGGGATGGGTTTTGGCTTACTTGTCCGCGTAAGCGTTGCGCTTCGACGTCGAAGCAACCATTCACCCAAACTTCTTACGCGCACCGATCAGCAAATTTTTGAAGTTCTGAAAAATTTTAATTGTTGGCTTGACGCTACAAAATTATTTCTCTTTAGAAGTTGTTGTGCTATTATCGTTTACGATTTTTATTTGGGGTGTAATTATCATCATCATATCGAGATCGCATTGCTGAACACAAGTGCTGTAGGTTGTAATTATTTTTTATCACGTACTGTGCCATTATGACATCTCCTAAGAGGACGTCTCCGCGAAGAAGAAGCGAGGACCCATAAAACCAAAGGTGGCTAACAGAGGCCTGCTGCCAGCTCAAGATCAGACTGATAATTTTTTTGTCTCGCTGTTTTTTTCGTCGGTGCCATACCAGAAAAATAACAAAAGATAATATTATGTTACGCACTCGTAATCCATAATTAAGTTCCAATGAGATTATGTACTGTTTTTATATCGAGAAATGATCCAGTCTGAATCACAGAGGAGCTGCATTAAACGATAACTTTTTTACACTTGGATGGTCAATTTCCACCCTGGCACGTAAATTTACTCGTTTTCTTATTTGCCATTTCATTTTTTGCTGACTCATTCGTAATTTTTACGCGTTCCACCGTTACCCGACGCGCAACGGTTACCCAAATGTAATTGACCTCCACCAATGGTTAGCTTCAGACGTTTATAGTGTATATTCATGCCCAGCTGCGTCTGTCGGCTAAAACTTTGTACCGTACACCGTATGAATTAACTAGAAGGTTAGATAGCAGGTTTTTTAGCGGTAAATTTATTTTTATTAGCCAAAACGATGGCGCGAAGTCTTCCTGAATTTTATTTTCCTACATAAAACAAGAGCCGGGCGCAGTGACCTTGAGGCCAAGCCACAGCTGAGCGGATATCCGGAAAGTCTGGTCATCCATGCAATACAAAGCAGTAATCTATACGCGTAAGCCGTTACTCGTTAGTATCGTTCATAAAATTGTACTACGCGGTTCGCCTTCACCGCTTTTATATGACAAGGTGACAATCAAACTATCATTAACGTGAATTCCGTATTGAGTTTATCAGATTAGAATGAAGATTTGTAAAGCTGTTTAAGATTTGTATCTTAAAGACTTTATATTCCGGTCGCCGATAACACCTTTGCGGATGCGTTAAGCCGTGTTTGTACTGCTGATTGTTATAAGTCGACCGTGGTCGATTGTATCAGGCACCGTGAAAGTGTACTGCGCCTGAGCGGTAACTACTGTTCCAGATACCCAAATAGCAAGTCTGAACGGGACCCTGACCGCGTTGCGGCTCAGTGCTATGACACCGTCCTCTGTCCGCACCCGGAAGGCCCAGTGGAGGAGGTTTAGCAGCTTCTGCAGTAAAGATCGGCTTCAGTCAGTACCGGCAAAGCCAAGTACAGTTTGATTATACATTGCCAAGTCACTGTCACGTAATCTTGAGTTTAGTTCCGTTCAGAACTACCTGGCTGCCATTGTGCCGTTGTACCATCTTCATTATAAACCGGCGCCGGATCTCAAACATTTTGTGATCGCTCAGGCTATGGAAGGAGTGCGTCGTCAGCGCAGGGAATTTCCTAGCAAAAAACCCCCAATTACGAGTTTACGACACACCATTTGGTTGGCATTTTTGAAGTAGTGCACCGACTTCCGCGGAAGTACGAAAGGCGTTCTGGGCTGCTTGTTTCAAGTTGTTTGTTTGCATTCTTTTCATTGTTACGGAAACGCAGTCTGTTTGGAACCGATAAAGGTCATCTACACATTCGTTTCCGGGATGTTACTGTGGGAAAAAACAACGTTCTCGTGTCCGCTCCGGTTATGAAAACCAGTCACTGCATTGGTGAAAAAATCCTTATTCCGCTCCCGATCCGACCGGGCTCGGTGTTTTGCCCCGCTAAAGCTTTTACAGAGCTTCGTGAAAGTGGTGTGCTTGAAAGTGACCGTTCAGTCTTCTGTTACCGTGATAACAGTGGGGCGTTAAGAAACCTGCCCGCGGCCAAATTCACGCGTTTATTGCAGACTGCTATGCATGAGGCTGGGTACGATGGCGCAAAATTTAGTATTCACTCCTTCCGGCGGGGGTGGTGCATCATTTGCATCCGAATGTGGTGCGTCTCCAGAAGCTATAAAAGCGCAAGGAAATTGGCGCAGCGCCTGTTTCGAGAAATACATTGTTCGGGAAAACGATCGGCGTCTTCTTTTTGCCCGTGCCGCGGCCACGGGTTTCCCTTGGGTTTCCCTTGGGCTCACTGCGTTGAACTGCCTGTTTGTTCGCTCTCGTTGAGCGGTTCTGTTTGTTTGGTTTTCCTGTTGTTTGTTGCGATTATTATAGGCTTAGCCAGAACGTTCTCTTTGGTGTACGCTACGCCCATAAGAACTAAAACTTTTGTGCCGAACAGCCAGCCGTTTGATTATACACAATACACACGCAGAGACGTTATTACCTTGATAAAAGCAATACGAGCAAAGTATATTGTAGTCAGCTAATCGTGGTCTTCGTCAGTTGCGGCGTAGTGCATATGAATAGCCACGTATAGTCTTCTTCATATGCGCTACGGTTGCGGTGATATCGATTAAACTTATTGCTAAGACATTTTTTACTGCTTATAGGTAATTTATGCCTTTTTAGTGGCGTTGACAATAGTACTTTCAATCCAGTTCTTTAGATATAACACATTCGCATAGATTCCCGGCACACCGGGCTGCGCGCAGCCCTTCCCCCACGTCGGCCCACGACACCACTCCGATCAGCTCGTGGTGCCCATCCTTGTCCTTAGCCACCAACGGGCCACCGCTGTCGCCTTGGCAGGAATTTTTCCAATTTTCCCGGAAGCCACCACAAACCCACAAATTCACGGCAGTTAGTTATTTTTGCGCCGGATATACCAGTACATATAGATATACCAGTATGATACAATCCGAATAAAGCATCAATCAGTGAATGTGAACTCTTCCAGCTGTTTAAAGCACGTAGTCCGGTCATACAAATCAATGGCCACTTGCTGCAGTTTATCCGAACCGATGCCCAAGATCAAGATAGGAACGGCGAAATTATTGTCGCTCCGTCCTGTTATAAGATATGTATTTCCACTTATTATTTTATATACATCTGGTCTCTGGATGACCTTCACCGGCTTCATGATAAAACATAAAACTACGGAACAAAATCGTGAAAAAAATAAGATCATTTCAGTGACCTTTTATAAAACGCCTGACCTTGGTTTTCCACCAAATGCCCCCATCCAGCAACAAATGCCACTTTCTTTCCGTCGCGTTCTTTGTCAATATTGGCGGCACTGGCCAGATCCGTGGACGGATGCGTCGGCAAGCAGATAGGCTGGATACGCGAGGTGAACTTGACAGGCTCCGCCAGCTCCAGCAGGGCCACATCATTGTTAGTGTTGTCCTTGGGATTGTCGTAGTCCGGATGGTGGAAAACCCGGGAGATGGGCAGCAGTAGCTCCGGCTGGGTGAGCACTTGTTTAATGTCGGTAATCCCGACCACCGCTTTAATGTGGGTGGTGAGGAAGTCGTCGGGGTGGTTGTCCACGCAGTGACCGGCAGTCACGATCCAGCGATCGCTAATCTGTAGTGAATTTTGTTAATCAAACCAGTGCAATGGTAATTTCATTAAAGAAAAGTACCACATTAAGTATAAATCGGTGTGTTCATTTTATAAACTACACGGTTGGCTATCGCTTAATTATGCACTACATTAATGATGTTTATTTATATTGTAAAACTGAACACGAATTGTGTGGGTGTTATTACTGCAAGCAGCATGAAAACATCAAAATCAGAATAAGAAATGCGGCAATAAAATCTAAGGGTTTTATATTTTATTTTTCTGCCGTAAACCAAGAACTCTCAGGAAGAGAGGAAATTTTTACGTATCGATAGCGTCACAAGCGGATTCTGTTGTATCTGTACTGCCTCTACGGTACACTACGGTTTCAAGTATTGGGGAAACAAACTCGCTTGGCGATCGGCTTGATAATCGGATAAATTTTCTAATGATGTGAAAAATATCCCTAAACTCAAATACCGATTAGACGGTAATTATTAAAACATTACCATTTGTACATACCAGACTGGCAGCACAAAACTGGTAGACGGGCGGCATGTATTCCGGCCGGAACTGGATGAGTGCCACAATCCACGGCCAGCTTTCTTCCTGCGCCTCCACACCGCCGATAATCCTGGAGCCTGTGGCCCACAGAGCGTCTGGTAACACTTTGGTCGGTGTATTCGAATCGCCGGCGGCGGCGCCCGTGGTTGGCGCCGGCAGGGGCGGAGTTTTGGATTTAATAATTGCCGGGTTATTGCTGATTGGCTTCCACCATTCTGTCAACGGATGTCAATTAATTAATCCAAATAAATAAAAAAATTCGATGATGTAAATTTACTTTCTGCTGATTACAGCTGATATTTACGAGCTTGGACAGCAACGGTCAGACATATGAAAATGCAGATAAATTTAATCATAATTAAGAAAATATGGACTTGAGCAACCGCTGAAGGGTTGTTACGAATATCCATCGTCAAGGTGGTGGAAATTAATTATGGCAGAAATGGACAACATAATTCATGCAGGTTGGGTTGTGAAAATCCCATGTGCATGATTCCGCGAGCGCATTTCTTAAGCCAATGTGGAGTGGAGAATTTTGCTGCCCTTCGCATTTTTGCAGGAGTGTTGAAGTGGAAGCACTGACCAATACTTCGAAATTATGTCACTGTTGTTAGGATTACAAAAGCAGTGCGTTATAATGAATATGTATTGTACTACTGGAATCAAAACAATCCTGTAATGGTGAACATTTACTGCATATTTATTTAATTTAGAAAAGCGACAAGTCAGCGGCAAATGCTGGAATTGTGCATTTTTTAATGCCGCTGTCCCATGCTTTAACACACGAAAGGTCACGCTTATTTTTTAAATTTGTATAAAATTTTTAGGAATAAAGCGAGATGTATGAGTGACAAGGTCATGCAAGCTCCCATGGTAAAGATAGCGCGAGTCGGTATCGCGAATGCAGATGGGTACGTACGCGCTGCGGGCGTGATATGCTTGAAGATGCAAGCGTACAGGGCGTAATTTTAGTCCCACTTTGCCGATTTGGTGCGTTTGACGACTGCCGCGATACACGCACATCGCTACACAGTTCCGCCGTCGTGAGAATAGCATCCCATAGCTGACAGGTGTGGCGGCAGCGCAGCCTTTCAACGATGTCCAGTGACTGGAAGATATCCTTTAGCATTTCCAGCGGCAACTCCAATACGCGCTCACCGGCACACAACGACTGTTTCCGTTTCGGCTCGGCATCAGCCTTGACAAGCCGCACATAGGACTTTCGCTCAACTTCATGAAGCAGCAACGCCGATTCAGACGGCGGCAGAGTCCAGTACCCGTTCGGCGCACGGCATGCTTGCATGACCAAATTGCCGGCTGGAAGCAGCCCTGGTCTCTCGGATTCTCGAAACGGACTGCGAATCTGTCGGCGGGAAGCAGTTCGCGGCAACCCTGCCCGTCCACCATCCCCTCCACCAGCTCCATAAAACCCATATGCAGCGACTTTATCGCATGGGATTGCGAACAGATTATCACCTTCAGTATACAGCTTCCCTGCCTCTTTAGATCCCGAAAGCCACGAGCCATGACAGCAGGAGCCGTGTCAGCCGGCATCTTAGGCAAAATTTGGTGTCTGGCGGACGCGGGAGAACGCGGCAGTAGGGCACCTACATACGGCTGCTGGCGCCGGCTGAAGGTAGTCCTCGGTTTTTACTGGTAATTTCTTTAATTAATGGTATTCGCAATTTCGTGTGACCGCATCTTAATAATATTTTTTTCTCATCATGCACAGTACAGTAATATTTTCTAACAACTTATGCAGTTACGCGTACATTGGCGGTTGCCAATCACCGGTTGTAATACGCTTGTGGAGTGCACAGGCTTCCGCCGTTGGGGCAACGGCTTTCTTTACGTTTTCTTTACACTCTGCCTTTTCTGTTCAACCTTATAACGACGTCGCCCTCGCAGTTCTTTTGTTGTTCGAGTATTCACTGAATACTATTCAGTATTGAATTCACTTTTGAGATACGTAATGTCGTGCGATCGTTTTGAACCAATGGACGCGTGCTCCATTAGTGACAGAGGAGTTGACCCGTTCAGCCAGAAGCGCCAAAGATGTGAGTTAAAACAGAAAGCTTCTCATTGTGCAGAATCAAGTAGGGTTCCGAATGATGATCCCAAGGTTCCTTACTCTTCGTTGTACGACGGAAAACCGAGGCAGAACGTGGAGCTGCCGAATGTGCTGGTATGTTCCATCGAGCGAAACGGCTCCCAACTGCTTTTATGTTGACGAACTCATGAATCTTAAGACCGAAATAAGCGGGTAGATCTGTAGCGATCAGTAGTAGGACCGCAGGTGTGCTGCAGGCAAAGCTGAAACAGTTCAAAGACAGCTTTGAATTCTTTAATTCGAAAGCTCTAACAGTTAGTGCTTCCCAGACCCTAATTAATTATGGTACTGTACTTGTAAAGAGGTGCCTTCTATAACTTCTATATTAACGGGGTTTGAATCTTGATGAGATGTATCACAGTATCTAAGTGGATGATGATTCCAGAAAACTGTACGTCATTACTGCATTAAAATTCGTATAAAAAGTTTTCACTTGATATGTGTACTACGTACTACTCTGTAGTATCAAATAATCAATAATTTCGTGTACAAAGTACTTTTTAATAGCCGATGATTCCATGTTTTTGGTTTTTGCTATAAATTTGCTTTTGTAAATTGTGATATTAAATGGGTGCGTCAGCTTTAAATTCCGTAATTAATGTGATACGAGCGGTCTTCTAATTTCGTAGAAGTGCTCCGTGCGACCCGATACGAAAGTGCTGGAAACGACCATAATTCCTCACAAAATTATCGTTCGCAAAACGGAACTGGCTAATCATGTACTCGTTATGGGAACAGTATCGGTAAAAATCAGCAATTTATTTTGTGGGCTTATGTGACATATTACTATAATACATATTACTATATTACTATAATAATTACATATTTCTATAATGCGTTATGTGACATATTATTATAATTTACATTCATCGTGTATGTCGTGTCCTATGTCTGCTCGTATTCTTTGTTTTTTACAATCTGCAGTATGGTGGCAATCCTCTTAAGTGTCCGTACGTGTCCGAATCCGATGCTTGCAAGGAGTTGTGCTTTACGTCGACGGAGAGCCTAAAGGCGCATCTGGAAACCGCGCACGAACTGACAGATGTGCAGATCAATCTGGTGTGCCCCTGTCCGGCGGAATGCAACGGAAACAAGGAATGCGAGGATGTTGCTTATGATCAGCACACAGGAATGTTTTTGGAGGATCATCTGACGGCTGCGCACAAGGAATTCTATGAAAAACTGGAAACACTAACGTGCTGCATCAATTGCAGTGGTGACGACGACGATGATGATCTCGAAGAATTTTTGGAGGAAAATGATTTGGTGAAGCAACTATAGAGATTTATTATAAGAGGACAGATACCTATATATCTCTGTTCCCTTGATTTTCCGTCCGTATCTCTCTGTCCATGCTGCACAGCTGCCTTGTTTAGCCGTTTTGATAAAAGGAATGCCATGCTAAAAATAGATACCATAAGTAGGTGCTATACTACTAGGTGGATATTTTGTGTACGTGATTTTTTTGATAATCGACTGCGATTTTTCGCTAAAGTTTTAGTTTGTATTTTAGTTCCCCTTCAGGCCTTCTGCTCGATGCATGACGTGGTGTTACCTGTTTAAAATCGATGTGCTGGTTTTCGCCGTCATAAGTTTTTTGCACCGAGCGCGAAGCGCGAGGTGCTGCAATTAACTGATCGTCAAGACTACACGCTCCATAGCAGTCGAGTATATCTGACGCCAAAAAGCGCGTCACCGTCACCTCTTTCCTATGGGATATTTGGAATTCCACAATATTGATTCCATTTCCAGTGGTACGTATCACTTCAAGTGGTACTGGAAATGCGTAACAGATCTCAGTGGCTATTGCTCGCGCTCGGTGCAATAATGTGGTTATCAACCACCGCTAGTAACTTCTATCTCATGTTTAAACTTAGAAAATGGACGATATGGCCTACCTCAAGCATTTGAATGGGCGTAAAACGTTTCCGGAATGGGTATTTGATCCGACTCGACCGTTTCCTAGCCAGACAATTCCAGATAAATTCATCCAACCTACCGTCATAGAGGTCATGTATTGTGCAGCATGTGATATAATATTATGTGTCTCGTCCACCGTAAATGTGGTACACAGGGTCGTGACAGGGATGTTACGATGGCGTGGCCTGCAGAACGGTGCTGATTTTGCAGAAGAACTGCTTGCATTACGTCTGCAATCTTGAACCATGTAAAGATAACCTCCTCCGAAACGCTGACCAAATGAGAGGTCACATCTATTCTTCCCACAAGGAACAGGTACTATTGGAAACCGACCTTTTCTTTGGATGCCCTGCCCAAATGACTGAAGTGAGTCCTTTTTCCATGCGAATGGGTTGAAGCTGCTTGTTAACGCCACTATGAACTAGATGTGTTACTGTTGGCTCCAGTAAATTTAACTCAAAATTACTCGAATTAATTTAACGTAAAATAAAATTCGGAGCATGGGTTTTTTCTCCAGGGTTGCGAGGCGATCGCGAAGGCATCCACGAACCACATGGTGTCACATGTGACAGCGATGCATCCTTTGCTGTGCGGCAAGCCTGAATACTCGGGGAACGCCTTGCAGGTAATTCAATTTGTAACTGAAAGGTGAAAAATTCCGAAAATATTCCAGAGTAACAAGTTCTGTGGTTGCCGCACTGAACTTCCGCTGGCAATAAATTCGTGTAAATTAAATGCGCTTACGAAGTACGTAGTTGCGCATTGCTGTAGAAGATGATGAACTGTTACTATCCAGAAAATGTGCTGCCCGTATTAGCGCCGTTACGATCAGGTCCACAGTACTTGATGCAGTAAATTAACGTACTGCAATGGCTCCAACTGTATGATACAGTTATCGGCACTAAGCGCAGTTCAGGAATTGGGCAATGTGCAGGCGATGAAATTGTCTATCATGCCCTCCCGTGGAAGTCGCGGTGTAGCGTGGCGCAGTATATTTAACCGTTCCAACGTTTTGAGTATTCACGGTTACTAGGAGTCTATCGTTTTGTGGATCAGATCGAACTTATTGTACGAAGTGCGACAAAGCGGAACACGTGACACTAAAGCAACAAAATTTGAAATAGCTGGCCCTTCCTGCGTTTCGTCGTTGACCATTTATTGACAAGCGCTGTCGTAAAGATTCCTTCAGGTGAAAAATTGCGGTTATGTGTTCCCTCGTGAAGGCTACAAACAACAGGGTTTCCGTTCTATGAGTGATGTCTGTAGTGTTAGTAGAATCGTACGCTCTTTATTGATCCGACTGGTATCGCAGGCTTCGCAGCAGAAAACAATTGAACAGAAAAGAAAGAATCGTAGCTACAGAAACTTGATAAAAACAGCAGCAGTTGCTAAGAAGACGAGGATCTCGACTAATACGTACACTACACTATGTATTTCGAAATCACGGATAATCTTTTTTGATTTTCTGTACTTTGTGTTCATAGAAACGAATGGACCTCGTGATAAAAATGGACCAGCGGCGTGTGCGTGTTGGAGAGACTTTAGACGGTTTGTTGGAGGATTGTGTTGAGAGCAACTCTGATAAAAAAATGCAGCGGTACTTGTGGAAGTATTTATGCCCTGATCAGGTAAGTACCTATGTAATGTAAGCAGCTGGAAAATTGATACTAAGAATAAGAATGATGACCCTGACCCAAATTGGCAGTAGAGTGCGCCCAGTAGATTACGTCGAGCAGTGATGTATTCATGCAAGATTCACAACTTTATTTTTAGTTTAAACTGCAGTTAGAAGTATGGTATTGAGTACAAATGATATGATTGCCTCGCTGTAAAATTGTTGGTTTTGTTTGTGTAATTTTAATCTGTGTTGTAGGATTGCTCGGTAATGTACTGGGTGCGAGATTACATGGTTTGGCACATTGGAGCTGATCATCAGCCTCTCTGGAACACTGCCTAAAAACGTATCTGCATAATATGGATCTTCTGGTTGTACAGATACTATTTTATATACAGTACCTTTTCTGGCTTTTGATATATACGGTACCTTTGATGTTGGTTGCAGCGTGTCTGGCCTCCCTATTTGAGCAAGGGGAGAAACATGTGTTCCCGACTATTTTTATTATTATTTTAAAATTTGTTATCATGGATAAAAGTTGCTAGCTTGGGGCGTGATGGAGTGTGCACTTCTTTGTCTAAGAAAAGACAGAAAAGTAGTTACGAAAACTGCTAAAATGGTGTACGGAAAGTCAAACCCAGTTCACTGTACAATAAAAACTGTTTATGGCAACCATGTGTCATAAACAGTTTTTGCACATGTCCCCAATGTATGATTTATCCTATTCGTGATGGCACGGTATTGTAAGTTCAGAGGTCGAACTGACGCAAGGAGCAGCCTATCCCTGCTTGAGCAGCACCCTGGTCGCATGTCAAGCGATGGTATGTTAAAACTTAAAAGCATCCGAAGAAAAACGAAACGCGTTTTTGGTCCATTAATGACCAATCCCGCAAACAGTTCCCAATAGACACTTGAACATTTCAACATTGAATCTCAAGAAAAGAAACGATGAGGCTTAAACGATGAAAAAGAAAACAGGTGGAGCGGCTGTCTTCCGTTCCAGCGTACAACGTTTGCCGATCTCTTTTAGCAATTTACCGACGCGCCGCACGATGCAGCAAATGTCTCACAAGCAACTTAAAGCAAGCGAAACAAAATCAAAATAACAACGATCCCGAATTGTGCTATACTGTTTGTTCTTCTTCTCGTAAGCTTGTTCTGCAGTCGCGCCCGCTTTTTTTTTGAAGTCGTTCCAGTGTAAAAATCACTATGGTATCTCGGCACGTGAAGTCCACGCTAACCGAGTAACGGGCAGACCGCAAAACCACTTCCAATCGTGTTGTTGCATCCGTCGAGCTTTCCGCCGGCGCGATTGAAACCATAAGGTTATGCTGCCAACAGAATACAATTTATGAACACAATTTAACTGCTACAGCGAAATGCATCCGGAATCAGTTCTGCCTGATGTGCTTGGATTTAACTACCGGTCATCTCACCAGACTTTATCGGCTAACGAATAATGATCATGCAGTTGGGCAACACAAAGTATCTGCAATACGAAACTTTCCGCGATATCTTGATTCTTTAAACGCCCATCGCCCAACATTTCTTTGAAGATTCCTATAGTTGCGTACTTTTGAGTGTTCTTAACTAGGTTGCTAGTCAGCCAGAAAATCAGGGACAATGAGATCGTTGATTCTAGAAACGGAGGCTTTCTGAAGTAAAGTGCGATCGTAACATGTTGAAAATTAAGAAAGCAGTACTCGTTTGCCGCCAGCGGAACGTTTTCGAATCGAAAATTAATTTTGAGTAGAGTTTTAGGATATTTATACAAGTAGAATATGTACGGAAGCCGCCATTAATGAATGTTTAAGTCAGTGAATCATGATATGGTTTGATGTGTTATTTTATCATTTAACCGCGGCCAACACACGCATAATTTCTGTTTCTTAAAGTAGTGTATTTATTTTCTGCGTTGATTCTAGCCCAGTGTCATCTACAATACACGCAAAACATACAGTAGATTACTTTAGCGAAATACAGGTTATCCAGCAGCAAGGAAATACTGGAACATTACAGGAATGTAATTGAGTATTGACAAAGCCCATTTAGGTTCTAATTCATTCTGCCTTGCCGGCGTATGTACTGCTTTTATCATGGAAAATTAGTCCGAAGTGGCATGGCATTCATTTTCCCTAATGCAATTATACGACATTACCCTCATCCCCGCTGCACTTTTCATGGCCATCGATCCTCTACCCGTCCACCGCCAAGGCCAGACCCCGTAATAAGGAAGTTTAATTTGTTGGGCTGCTGTGACTTCCCCGGCCACGGCTGCAGCATGTTGAATAACGTTGCGCTTGCGTGATCCTCAATTGCGACTATAAAGCCGGTGTAGACAACACATACTCTCACACTGTAATCCAGCGATCGATTTGGGAATGCGTTTTTGTAAGCCGCTAGTAATCCGTCATCGGGATATCATGACAGTGTTGGCGCAGCTGCTGCCGACACGCGTACGACACATTGCCTATCAACACATCCATTACGCCGGTCATTTTCCCGTGCCAGTGTACAGTCGGGGATTTGGTGGGAATTGTTTCCCGATTGACTTTTACTTGTCATCAGTGCTCGTGCACTCAGTTGGAAACTCTCTTGCCGGTTGTAAGTTTTATGCCGGTTCGTCACTATTCATGTGCATCATGCTGAAACTCTCGCCATAACGATGTAATACTTCTTGTCGGTATATGTATCATAACTTCCTCCCCGCAGATTTATGACTATATAATGGATGCAGTCAACAGTCTTTCCAATTTTACAAACCAGTCGCACGCGGGGTATTACGAATGGAGCGGCGGCGCAACGCTCCAAGTTCTCTTTACCATCGCCACATTCCTGACCAACGGTTTTGTCCTGGCGATCTTCGCCAGCCGACCACGCCTCATTACCCCCTTCTCCATCTACCTGATTAACCTGCTAATCGCCAATGTTGTCGACACATTAGCCAATCCGTTGCGCATCGTGGAACTGCTACGGACCGACTGGTTCGCCTGGAGCCGGTGGTGTCTGGTGATGCTGTATAGTGATTGGATACCCAATGCTATTGTACAGCAGTCCCATCTGCTCATCACCGTCAACCGGATCTGGGCCATCGCTCGCCCGATTTCCTACCGGAATTCCCATACGAAGCCGGTAGCGATGGCGATATGCGCCGGCACGTGGCTATATGTGCACATTATCATCCTGCCGTTTTATGTGCGGGATTTACTGTATTATGGGAATTTTGATTCGGATCGCTGGTGTATCGTTAATGTCAGCGCGCAGAAGGGTTACGCTATGGTATGCAAATGCTGTTGGTTTAATAAATGATGTGTTTGTGCATGGGAAAATTTACATAAGTCATCATTTATTCTACAATGAATGATTAAGTGGCATGCTGGTCGTATTGGGAAGGACTGAATATACGTACATGCATAATTAATTTTATGGAATGGTTAAAATTCAAACTGCTTAAATGTGGATAGTTTTTCTATCCTCGGTAAAAGTCTTAAGGCGGATATAAATTTGATAGGTTTATAAAATTTAACAGCATTTTCTTTCTATTTGTTTTATTGTTTTACGCTTTTTTTTACATTTTTGAATTTGTGCACTCATTGTTTGTACTCAACAGTATACGCATGTACTCAGTAGTATGTTTGTAAGTTGTGTATTCATACGGGTGAACCGCGCTCCAACTTCATACGGGTGAACCGCGCTCTCATGAGTTTCTCCGGCAGCGCATTTCCCTCGAAATCCAACGAGGCAACGCCGCTTCCGTACTCGGAACAATGGATGGAGCGGCAGCGTTAAATGAACTTTTTTTGCTATAATAATTGTTTTTAACCCGTAATGTACCCCATTTTATGAAATAAAAATCGTAAGTTGTGTATTGCACATACATATGACACTGTACGCAGTAAACGAATATAGTAGAGTAAAATTCCTGGGACCATTCTGATTCCGGAAAATAAATCATTTGTAAGCGTTGATAGTAAGATGCCGCTCTACATAGCCAGTTGAGTAGTAATGGCGTAAGTGCAATAAAGTGCCTATTTTTTTGCACTTACGTATGGTGTCATTACAGATGTGCCTATTTTTTTGCACTTACGTATGGTGTCATTACAGATGCTACAGCTTGTCATTTATCTTATTCCGTACATCTTAATACTCCTTGCCTATCCCTTTCTATGGTACCGGCGCCGAATGCAGATGCGGGCAATGCCACGTAGTAAAGAGTGGATACCGTTGTCGGGGACGGAAGACAATTCTTTGAACACGACTCCAACGAAAAATACACCGCAAGAGCAATCCCGAAAACCCGTAGCTAAAAAGCGAAGCCGGGAGAACTCTACGGGCTTCACCGTCCTCACCGTACAGACGATATCTATCCTGGTCTGCTGGACCAGCTCCAAGATTTACGGCACCGCATCGGCATATTTCCACTATGAATTAGGCTGGTTAGGCCAAGTAGGCAATATTATGTACATGATTCAGATGGTTATTGATCCTCTTTTATTTGTCCTAGTTCTGCCTGAGTTGCGGGCAGCCGTTATACAGGTGATTAAGTGCCGAAATATGCGATGAATACTTTTGAGATTTTGTAATAATGTTGTTCGTTATAAAGCCTGCGTGATACACAACATACAAATACGTTATCCGTAACGTTTATTTTGGTACTTAATCTTACGCACGTTACAGTGTAATAAAGGTAACAGTCACTCTCAGTCAGAATCCCCACAATTCATTCGTCAATGACAAACTGTGAATGGTACTTAATGCACATCTTTATCACACCGATCGTCGTCGACTGGGCAGTGGCCTAATTTGCCATTGTGCAAGCTTAACATCCAGGTGACATTGCGCAGTATGAGATTGTACGTACTTCTATGCGTTATTCATCGTAAATGTAATACAGTATGTAAATTGCAGATGTTTGGTTTTTGATCTGTGCTAATGAAGCCCCGGCAGCAACTATTGACCGATTTTCATGTGGCTATTCAAGTGGTGCTCCGCACGGGACCCTTCATTTTCTATGCATTAAATTTCAAAGGACATGTCCGTACTCGATCGGCATCATCGAACAAATTGCGGCTGGCTTGTATATTTATTCTATTTCATCGGCTTGTAGCGCCAGCGGGCAGTTGCATGCATATTTATTAACAGTTTTGTACACGCTATTGAGACTATGATTTCTGCGGTAAGTGTGGTCGACAAATAATAGAGCTTAAGTGGTCCATTTCGAAACCCATTCCGCTAATGGATCAACCGGGGAATCCGTATTCTGTTTAGGACGGAAGTTGCTGCGTGCTATCCACTACCCAGTACGTCTCCATAAAGCCTTTGCTCTGTAAAATGCATTGAGCGTTGTTTACTTAATTAAAAAGAGAAGCACCGCAAAGGTCGGTATTTTGGTTAGGCGTTTTACAACGCGGCTGCTATCTTCAATAAAACATGCGCGACTGCCGTTGAACATTGCTAAAGGCGGCTGCAAAATTAATGAAGCCACCGGCACGTGTAGGCAGACTGATTGGCAGGGGAAACTCAATCGCGTTTAACAGGATCTTCAATATATAATTTTTATGCATATTGAGGAAATGAATTCTACTTCAGTCTCTAATCACCTTCACTGCAAGTGCACTTTACCTTTATGTCGATTTTCCCGCGACTGGTAAATAAAAATCGATCGGGACATGTCCGGTCCAGCAAGTACTTGGTTGATAAGCTGCTATGTATTTTTCCAGCTGCTGCGAAAATATTGTTCACACTTACATGGCGCGCATGTATGTTCTTATATGCAGACTTTCCGATCCGAATTACAGTAAATAAATTGGTGTATCGAGAGCGTAAGCGTATCCTCAGAATGTTAAAACAACTGTACTCAACGTATCGTTAATACGGGTATATAGCAGTAGCAGTTCTGGGGAGTATTTTGCTTCACGGTAAAGGCTCAGCATATGTAACATCCTATATATTAATAAAATAAGCCTTAGCGAATTCCATTTCTGTCACCCTTTTGTGAGCGAACCACTAAACCAAACTTTGATGTCCACATGTCATTCAATAGCGCCCAACTTACAAATTTGCAGAAACCAGTCAGTTTTACGAAAGTATGTAAGGTTTAAGAGAAAAATTCAAAAGAATTTAACATAAAAAGTCTATGGGAAAAGTGGAGAACCCACCACTGCAAACCCACCCACGCCACCACTGTCACGAACAGCATACGAAAAGCATCCATCTACACTTGATGGAACTTTGGTCAGTTTGGTGTCCATTAGTTATCGGAATGCCTTTAGTTCATAAAATTTTTTTAGAGTTAGTTTTTAAAATATGTAGGCTTTGAAAGTGATGTTTCGTGAAGACTGAACATGCAGAATCTCCTGGAAAGTGGGAACGACCCAAATTCCAAAGATAAAGTAGTTGCCTTTCGCAACGGGTTGATTAGATTTATTAATAAAACTGCTTCCACAGAGCGGTTGGCTTTGGTAATATGTATCGTGCTGATGTGCCAATAAAGTGGAAACCCCTTTTTTTCCAAATCGCCAATAAACATGATTTTGTGAGAGACTGAAAGTCGATTTTGAGAATTTTGGTGTTCGACTGGAATTGATGTGGACTGTTTGAGCAAATCAGCGAGTCCCAGTCCCACCGGGCGTACGGACTAGGATTCGAGTCTAACCACCGCCCGGGGGGAGAAGGCGGCCCAAGGCCGCAAATCTTTTCCGGCGACTGAAGTGAGGAGCGCGTATTTTAAATGTCCGCAGGGGGAGGGAGTGGAGGTTAAAATATTTTTCGAAAGGCTAAGGAACGTAGACAAAAACGGTTTTATGATAACAAAAACCGCATTTTTAGCATTTAAAAATTAAAATAAACAGAAGATTTAAAAAGCGAAACGTATCCGCATTCTAATCTGCCTTTCCGCCAGCTACAAATCAATCCGTCAGATCATCTCATCAAAGGTCAAAACAAAAAAAATTAGGGGAACACCCTCCCCGGTGCGCCTGGGTGCGACGAGCTACATTAATGAACCATCTGTGCGGACGTAGGCGTGAAGCGACAATGCGTTTATCGGGTTGAAGCTGTTGTTGGCGTTTAATGGGTTGAGTTGGGATGGGTTGGGGTTGGGGATGCGACAATGCGTTGGGGATGTACTACACGAATGCATAGATTTTTGCCAAAGTTGAATACGCACGTACAGTAACAGAAATCGGAAGCATAGGCGACGCCTACCTGCAGCGGGGGTCGCAAGCAATACACTGCGTTGAAGTTGTCGACGTTAATCAAGAATAAAAAATTCACCAAGAAACACAACGAAATTCTGAAGTCTTCATCAGGTTTAAATTGTTTTGTGTGTAAACAGTAGGCGGAAACTGGACACTGAAAGTAATTTTATTCTAAGTGGTCTAAAGGTTAACATCGGTGGTTGTACCGTCGTATCACTGGATTGTTTTGTCGGTCACAACGCACTGACTAAAATTTAACGAAGCTCCGAATGGTATCTGAACCCATAGAATTACTGTAATACGGCTACAAAAATTCCAGTAATTACAGTATGGAGCTTTTCTTATTTGCAGTTCTTGACAACTGACCGCCATATGCTGCTGATTGATTTGGGAGAAGCTTACAAACTTCGTTTTATAATTGCAAACAAAAAGGACATATTCCTGGAAATTTTCAAATTTTTCGGGTCTACTTTAAGGTTAAATCTGAAATCAGCGGAACGCGACAATGTTTTCTCAAAACAGCCTTAAACATTTAATTAGTAAACTGTGATACATTCTAACTGCTACTATTCTGCCAGTGAACTATGGCTAAAATAAAGAATAATTTACGACATAAGTTGTGATAAGCAGTTAACCAAATATATATTTGGGAAATACTGTCTGTCTCTTCCAATGAAACTAATCAAACTATATTATTATTGTTATTATTATACGCTCCTCCGCTCAACAAAATTAAATGTGCTGTCATGGGTTAGTGCTTTGTAGTTTTCTTAAATAACAGTTTATCCCCGATTTATTCCGCGCAGTTTGCGCGGGGTCTACTAGTTGCATATTATTTGCATAAAACAGTATTGCTTACCGATTCCGTATGTTTTCATCCTGGCCGCCGTATTGACCGTGTCGCCGAACCTTAAGAATGCCAACTACATCCAGGTTACTGTTTACACCTTAATATCTTTATAATAAAATAAACAAACGTTTGCTGTATTATTCTGTAGATTATAAATACAGCAATTAAAGTTCCGAAATATGGAAACGAATAGTCGCAAAGGAGTTAATGTTCTACGTCTCCTATGCGACCACACAACGCCAAGTGGGGGGAACTGGAGATGCTGTTGACCGGAAGCGCGAGTAAGGTGCGTGAACGCGAATGCGTTGTCCTCTGGTCGCTCCAGCCGTACAGGCAACCCCTTTATTTTGATTCGGTAGGAGCAAAATAACGAAACAAAACAAAACAGGTGCGCGGCGGGCGGAAAACAAAATTCTCGACGTGCAGATCGAGAGGTGAACAAGTGCGAAATGAGAACTCGAGAGGCTAACCAGTGAGCGAGCAAAATGAAAACTCGTGATGGCAAGCGAGCGTGCAGTGTGAACAGTGCGCGGAAAGCGGCTAAACAGAGACAACACAAAGCGGCCGGCTTCCGTCCACATCAAAGCGCGCGAATGGTGGTCCGGCTCGGCCGATGCGGCGTGCAGAAGAAGAGAAGCGCCGTCGACGTAACGTTAACTTGAATTAACGTTGTTAATTAGCTGTTAATTATTGCATTTAATTTATATTGTACTTGCTATCCAGTTCCATTTAGACGAAATGTGCAATCGAATAATAAAAGAGCTTTTGAAGAGCTTTTGTGGATTTTCAGGCATTTTAACTTACAGGCAGTAACGTGGCAACTTCAGTCCTATAACGCCTGCCACACAGGGACCTGCAGTGCGGAAAGTTAAGGACAAGTAATTAATGGTCATGCCAAGAAGATCACAATCGAACTCACCCGTATTAATTCCGAACCGCAGATCAAACTCTTCACTGAGATTCTTGTAGCTCAAGCTGCTGCTTCGTCTGTTGGCCAGTCCGTCCGTATGTGCGGACAACTTGTTCGTATCGTGCAGCAGCTCCGCCGCCATACACACAATTTCTTTGGCATGTTCCTGGCCATTCCGTACGGGTACTCCACTAACAAGCTGTAAGCAATCCAAAGGTCATACGCTACAGATTACGCACCAATAACCGGGGAAAACTGAGTCGTACAAGGTGAGCATCGTTGATCGTTTCCACGTCGTACACTTCGAACTTCCGGGTTACGGTATCAAAAATGCCGCATAAAGAGTTCAGAACATCGACGATCCATTTCAGCGAGGAGCCACTTTCGAGCATTTCGGACAACATGGGCACATCAGCGAAGCAGACGGTGGCACTGTCGAACATTTCCGGATGGACGGCTTCGCGTCGCTGCATTGCGTCGGCGATGGATCTGTCAGTATCAACTGTACACCCAATAAACATACTACTTTATTTCTGGTTTTCTTACTGAGGAAGCAGAAAGCTCAGCATTTGCTCGGATCGGCGCTTTTCTTCCATGAAATTGCGTGTCTGTTCCTCGACTTGGGATTCCAGCGTGATGGCGTACTTCTCCATAGATTTCATTAAGCTACCGATCAAGTTCCTCTCGGACTGACCGATGATTCGGTTGACTGTGGAGCGTATTCGGGAAAACGCTGGGCGTTCATCAGGATTCTCCTCCCAACAGGTTTCCATGAGGCCGTAAATCCTCGGGTTACAAGCCACGCTGGGAACGGGCGGTCGTAATGGAGGAACGGAGCCGTGCTGAATCTGCCGATTGCACCAAATTTACTTGTAAGATATTCGTACCGACAGCGACTGGTTTACTCTACGTAGGTTGTTTGCGTAAGTAATAAACGATAAACGTGTAAAAGCAAATCCGTAAAAGCAAACGTACTTCTGCAACTATTTCCCTAGCTTTGTCATTGGTGATAGCAGAGTCTTCTAATCGGAACGGTCCAGAGCGAAGTATAATTTGTTGTAGCAGTATGGCAAAACTGTACACATCACCTGTGAACAAAGCATAAAAAAACCGTTGTAATCCGCTTTTTTACTTTATCCGTTTGAAAGAAACATCACTGAAATCGATATTACCACAATATTTCTACGGAAATTAAAACGCTTTAAGGTTTCAGACGTTTTTGTGTCTTGTACGCTATAGCTATTGTCAATGATGGATGTATTTAAATCGCAATTGTGACCTTTTTGTGTGCCAAACGGATTCATCTTGTGCCGTAATAATTCCGGAGCGCGCCACAGCAAAGTATAGAAATTCCTCTCCGTCTGTGAATTCGACGGTGGCTCGGTCCAGTGAAGTGGGCGGGTCAGCATGGGAATACCGTAATCGGTGACCTTCAGCACTAGCTGACTAGTAATTAGACAAGTCCCCGATGTCAAATTCCCGTGAGACTTAATGTCGCTGCCGTGAAGCATGTTCATACCCTGCGTGATAGCAAAAGCAATGCGTTGTTTACCGCTGACGGTAGGTAGTCCCAATACTATCAACCCACATCGACAATATCCATGATTAGGGAATTCTTGCAGGCTTGATCAAGCGGAAAGCTTTCCGCCAGGAGCAAATTAGTCAGTGTTCTGCGATGGCATAACTCGCCAACAGTGTACTGGCATACATTGTCGTCGCTGAGCACAATTCCGATAAAATGATGGAGATTTGTATGGTGCAGTGCTTTTAGCTGAAAATAATTAGACGAAATTACGTACGTACTGTAAAATGAGCATTACTTCCATGCAAAAAAGCAGGCAACAATATCTGCGACATATAATATTAACATGGACAGAAGCGTAAAACACACAAAAATATACGTAGATGGAAACATGAGCGAATTGTTCGAAAACTAAAAAATTTTATCAGCATAAAATTAAAAAGAGAAGGAAAATTAATAATAAAAACTAGGGTAGTACGAACAAAATAGCATGGCATACCGGCGTGACACTCTTCACTACCCGCGGTGACGCTTTGTGTTTGGGCTGCGGCAGATCCGCCAATCCGACTGGATTTGAACGGTATATTACAGGCAGCGCATAGTACGCTCGTGCAACTGCATCCAGTTGAACCAGATCACCTTTTCCGGAAAACGATTTCTGTGAGGATACCCTCGACATTGTAAATTAATGGTGATGCTATTGGAGTCATCCATATGAAGTGTATTTTATATCAAAGCCGTATAATACAGCAAATGAAAGCCCTAATAAAGCTAATACGAGTATTAGTATCAGTTACAGTATTTGCGTACCTCGATTGGTTCGGAAAACGTAACCGAACGTTCACGAGGCCCAAGGGTGTCACCAATATCACCATCCACGACACGGTAGTCGTCCGCGATGCCGGTTCCATTACCCACAACAAGAACCAATTCCCGTCGGTAGATTCTCCACCAGTAAGGATCTCGTTTGGCCGCAATACTACAATGTATACGTCATACGCACCACCTTTACACTTTAGCAAATTTTGTAGTTGCGCTTAAATTTAGTTCAAGCAAGATTACGTTTTCTGAATATATGTGTAGACTCCAATCGGGATCAGTATCAGTAGAACCACCAGAACGCTCACTGATCCGGCAATCGCCGGTATCATGGAGGCCTGCACTGCTTGACACCTGGCCGCCTTTCCATCGAATCCACAGAAGGGTGAGTTTGGCGGTAACGAATCACCATTGGGCCAATACAGAACGCCCAGGGGGAACACGCCAGTGGAAGTGGACGGGATAATGTACAAATCCTACAATATGCCAACCAAATCAATACCGGCGCGCAACTGAACTGCTGAATGCCGGTACAATAAACTGCCCGCTGTTAGGATCCAGGTTACGAAACGCGTATGTTGAAATACGATCGCCGCTTTCGTCCAATTTGGAGACACGATTCAACGGTACGCTGAAGAATGTGAAGTTACGGGCGGTGGTGGATATTAACGAGCCGTTAAGGAAGTCTTGTCCCCGTGATAACAGTGTGACAACGAGACTGGCGTACAGATAGATGGTGTCGTATGAGTTTGCCACTATCATGTCGGGCTGCAAGAATGCTCGCTCTTGTCAAACATTTAGAACTTCAGCAGGAAAAAGAAGGGAGTGATGCCGAAGTAATATAGTATTAATCGTAAATCATCTTTGTACACTTTTTCCATCGCTACAGCTACAACACCAGATGACACTCTAAAAGTCATTATAGCTGTAGGGCTAAACGCTGAGCTTACAGTAGAAGTTGTGCTGAACTTGTAATAGTTTTCCCGTCTTGATCGTCTTTTGACGTTCCTCCAAAACGTATTCAAACTGCTATCTATCGAGGATCGAATGGATAGAATCAGGAGCGTGCGAAACGCTGTGCGTGCATCCTGAAATTGTGCAATTGTACAAAACGGTGTACGTGGATTATACGCTGGTTAATTGATAATTGGGAACGACCTCATCACGGTCATCGTCAAATCTCCACGTGAATCTTCCCCAGAAATCGCTTTCGAAATATTCCACAGCAATAAAAACCTAGAATACGTTACACAAAGATATGATGCAGATGCGCAGAGACAGTTATCGTGAGAAGTCTTTACGTAGTCTCCGGATGTCATTCCTTCGTCTAGTGCCGCTAACATTATCTGGCGAACGGTGGAAGCGTTTGCCATGATAAATACCACTGCAAAATTAAAAACTGTTAGCTGACATTTTTAAATACCTTGCGCGCGTCCTTTGTAGAGAATAATTAATGGTCCGGTCTTATGAACAAATGTCGGAAAGCCCTATTACCTCGCGAAACTGGTGTCACCGCGCGAAGATAGCTTCTGTAATCTCCCAACGTAGTAATCGAGCTATCGAAGCGTTTAGCCTTCGACCCGTAATACAAATCAGGATTTCGGCGCAAAAAGGTAGCTGCTAGCAGTACACGCATTTCTCGGTAAAATGTGCCGAAGGTATCAAGGAAAAAATACGGTGTGGTATAGTTAAAGTAGTTTAGAAAGCGGAGGAGGCCGTAGGCCATGGATGTATGGGACACCGATGCACGGAGCATAAGTTTATAATCCGCAAAGGGCGCTTTGGTTCCTACACTGGCGGCTGGCATTCCGAAGAGCGGAATGGAAAGGTATTCAGCGAAATCATTTAGCGTCTCGGCAGCTGAACCGCATCCTGTAATAAAAATATGTGCTTTTCCGGTTACCGTCTCATTCTGAATCGTTAATCAGATCCACAACCTTCATGAACTGAATAAAATATTCACCTGTGTATAAGAAAAATATGATAGTATAAAGAGACTTACATGTACAATATTGACGGCGTACGTGTAAAACTACGGTGAACTGCATTTGTGTTTAGAAACTTAGCAATCCAAATATAACAATTTTAAGTGCTTCTAGTCGCGGTTGCCAAATAATCATGCTGTCGATATATATGATATTATATTAATTCAAATTAGCATAACACTCCATTCAATTATCAAGTACCAGCCAAGTCCTTACCCGGACCGAAATACACGTTGCAAGTAATATTTCTCTGCCATAAATCCATGGCATACGACAATACCATCGGTTTCCCCAAGCATCGACTTCCGATATCGACGTAAATAGTCTGCATGGTGAGATTGGCGGGAAACACATTCTGATTGACCCATTCCACGGCTAATTCAATGGCCGCTGCGGATTTATCATAATCATGCAGATCATACGTATTCCCGCGCTCCATAAGAATGCATCCGCGTAAAGTAACGCTGTCGTTCATTGCAGGAAGACTTGCAGGTAAAAAATCCTTGGCTTGGACTGTACGCCACGCCAGCGTAGTTGTTTCAGCGGGCGCCAATGTGGTTGTGTTATTCTGCTGCCCGTAAGAAATTCTCAATGTTTTTATAAAAAACAAACAGAATAATGGTCCTGCTGCCGTGATGTACATAGTGATATAATTATAAATTATTGCTAGATGTTTTGATCGGAAAATACTATCCCCATCGAAAGGCGAGTAGGAGGTGCTAAATCCTACACACCGGTATGTATATGCTATGGATGAAGAAATCCACTTTGAGCTATCGCTCGCATGAATGATTTGCCAGAACCGTATTGTATCGCCAAAATAATTAGGAATCACATGTGTGCGCCTAGTAATTACCAACCCGAAAGCAATAATTCCGGGTTATTCCCTTTGAGAGTACCATTTCTACACTGACCGGGGAAAATTTACCAGGCCACCGTAACCCTGATTAAAATGTCATACGATTATTAATAGAATTCATTACGTATAACCCTTACCTTTGCAAGACTTTTCAAGGAATCTTCCTGCATTTCAAATTTTTAGTACATATTAAGATCGCCTACATAGTTCTAGGAAACACAAGAAAAGCATATTCCCAACCAAAAAAATTTCCGTTCATGTTTCAACTCTTGGATTGTTCTAAGGAGGACAGAAGTCGCAGACTCGCAGGCGCAGGAAATCATGCGCAAGGCGTTCCTGTCTGCTGTTGAGTTCTTTTCCCTAGCTCTTTGACAATTACGCTAGCCGATGGGCGCCAATGGCCCCATGTCGTGAAAGCAATTGGTAAAAGATTACTGCCCTTCCGGCTAAGCGTAAGTGCGCGACCGCAAGTTTCTTTCGTCCGCTAGAACAGCCGCACATGCAGCGTTTACTGAAGTCGACTGCATGTAAAAAAGTGGGACCGTGTCGACACAGGTTACATTACTGCACCAGGCACGTTCCCCTTTTCTTGCACCATACCAGCGACGCGGATATTGTCCCATTTAAAAAAATCTCACAAAATTGAAATAGCACAGATCCTTACGTTTTTTACGCATGACGATGTCGTACAAAAGTCATCTTTACCCCCTGCTTATGCTGTATCGATCGGAATCCTGTAACGCGATTCTCGTTAATAATGGGATGCAGCAAGTTGATATCGAAGTCTATAGAACAACATACGAGTATTTTGCAGTTCTGTTGCGGTATTTTTATGCGCGGGGCATTCTTGTATATCAACTTTTACATATAATATCGTAAACTTTAATGTAATTAATTATCGTTAATTGCTGATGTTGATTATGGTTAAGTGTTGTTGATTCTTTTTCCCGTACGAGAACATTAGTTTTGTTGTTTGATGTGCTTGCGGCATTATTTGTTTTTTTGAAATGATTCTACTTAATTTGACTTTTGCTGGATTTCTGGGTTTACAAGTACCCACACATTTCATTTCGCGTGAAAGGTACAAACTGCCGAGTACACAATCCACCACAATGGTCGGATACCAGAAACTGCACGATTTAATGCTGTTTTGCGTTAAGACATACGAAGAGGAAATACGAATACCCCCGTAATTAACAGTCTGCCATTTTTCAACTTTGTTTGACCTCAATTCAACTGAAAGAATTATGTAAATATAAATAAGTGCTCTCTGTGAAATATAAATAAACATTCTTTTAAAAGATAATTCTGTACTCAATCGGCATCATCGAACAAATTGCGGCTGGCTTGCATATTTATTTTATTTTGGCGGCTTGTGGCGCCGGCGGGCAGTTGCATGGTTTATTAACAATTCTGTACACGCTGTTGAACTAAGGTATCTGTGGTAAGTGTGGTCGGCAAATAATCGAGCTTAAGTGACTCATTTCGGAACCCATTCCGCTAATAGATCAATAGGGGAATCCGTATTCTTTTTAGGACGGAAGTTGATGCGTGCTATCCACTACCCAGTACGTCTCCATAAAGCCTTTGCCCTGTAAAATACAGTGAGCGTTGTATAATAAAACGCAGAACCACCGTGAAGGTTTTGTTTCGGTTAGGCGTTTTACAACACTTCTCCGATCTTTAAGCGTACAGTGAATGCATTTGAACAGTGTTGGCGGCTATACTGCAAAATTAGCGTATCCACCGGCCCGAAACTAAATTGCGTTTTAATTACCCGGATTTTAAAATGTAAATTTATGTATATTGAGGAAATGAATTCAAAGATATTTCACTTTCTGATCAACTTCAGTGCAAGTGTTTTTTACCTTTATGTCGATTTTCCCGCGACTGGAAAATAAAAACCGATCGGGACATGTCTGATCCAGCAAGCACTTTGTTGATAAGCTGCTGTGTATTTTTCCCGCTGTAACAAAAAGTCAAAGACATTGTTTGCCGTGGGCCCTGGTGTGTCTCAAAAGCGTGCCTTTACGCTTTTCGAAATAAGCAGAGTATCATACAGATGACGCAAAGAAATCCTCGTTTAACTGTAAAACATTTGTAATTACCGGCTCATTATTGGGCTGATTAATAATAATAATAATAATAACACTAACGGAGATTATTGCTTTTGCAACGAGGCGTTGCCCCTCTGGGCTTCGGACAGCACGCTATGTTGCTTACCGGTTCCATACGTTTTCATCCTGGCCGCCGTATTGACCGTATCGCCGAACCTTGAAAATCCCAGCATCCATAACCAAAGTTAAGTTTCCGCAACTATGCTATGAGCGATTCAGCCCACATAAATTTCTTCCTTTTAGTAAGCATAAACTAAAGGACTGAAGAGAAACTTATCAATTATTCTACAGGTAGCAAGCAGTACTACAGTATTTTATGGATATGAAAGTAATATGGAATATAATACCGCAAAGTGATTAAAGAACCTATG